AAAATAATTTTAATTAAAAAATTTTAAAATTCTTTTATATTTTTTAAATATATAAAATTTTATTTAATATAAATATTTAATTTTATAAATTTATTAAAATTATTTTTAATAATTAAAAAAATAAAAATTTATAAAAATTAAATATAATTTAAAATAATATTTTATATAATTTTAAAATAATATTATAATTTTTAAAATTATTATTTTAATTATTTAATATTTAAAATTATTTATATATTTATTTTTATTAAAATAATTTAAAAAATATTTAAAATAAATAATATAAAATTTTATTTTTAATATAATTATAAAAATTTATTATATTTTATTATAAATTAATTATAATTATATTTTTATATTTTAATAATATTTTTTTTTATTAAAAATTTTATTTTAATATTAAATAAATTAATATAAAATTTATTAATTTTAATAAATTTATATTTATATAAATTAATAATAATAATATTAAAATATTTTTATTTAAATTTTTTTAATTATTTTTTAAAATATAATTTAAAAAAATAATATTTTAAAATAATATAATAATTTTAATTAAATAAATAATATATTTTATTATTATAAAATAAATAAAATAATATTTAATAAATATAAAATAATTAAAATAAAAATAAAATATTAATTTTTTTATATAAATAAAATAATAAAATATAATTATAATATATTTATATTAAATATATAATATTTATTATTTAAATATAATTTTTTATATATATATATATATATTATTATTAATAATTATATAAATTAAATATTTTAAATATATAAATTAATTTTATAAATTAAATATAAATATTATTAAAAAATTAAAAAGTTAATTTATATTTATTTATTTATTATTAATTAATTATTATTATTATTTATTATATTTAAATTAATTAATATTAAATAATAATTATTATAAATAAAATTAATTTATTAATTTTTAAAATTTTATAAATTTTATATATTAAATAAAAAATAAAAAATAAATAAATTATATATATATATTATAAATAATATAATTAAAATATTTATTAATTTATATTTTATATTATATTTTATATTATATTTTATATTATATTTTATATTATATATAAAATAATTAATATAAATTAATAAATATTTTAAATTATATTATTTAATTTTTAATAATAATAAATAAATTATTAAAAGAATTCTTTAATATATTACTTATTATATATTTATTATACCCTTTTTATATTCTTAATAATATTAAAAAAAGTTTAATTAATTTAAGTATTAACTTATTAAAATTTTATAGCAAATATGTTATTAATTTGCCCTTAAAAAGATTCTTAAACGCCCCTTAAACTCCTTATAAAAGTCTTAAAACTATTTATCCTTATTCTTATTACTATTCTTAAATTCCTCCTTAAACTTCTCCTTAACGTTATTAATAAAGGAACTAAGGTCTTTATTAATAGCCTTTAAAATGCTGCGTTACTTATTAACTATAACCTTTAAATAAAGGTTAATTTTAAAATCCTACTTTTTATTCTTAGCTACTTATCCTTAAAAAATAGCATATAAGGCGTTAATAGCAATGCTTATATTACTATAAGCCTTATAAAACTTATATAAAATATTAATATTATTATAGCTTTTAATTAATATATAGGCATTAATAAATTTACCTTTAAATACTTCTTAAATACCTTAAATATACTATTAAGATACTTTTTATAATAAATTAAGGCCTTTTTAATACGGCTGATTTAGTAAAACTTATTGCATATTATAGCTATATTAATAACTTTATAAAGAAGTCCTTTAATGCATTTAATAATATACTTATTTTGCTTTTTGCAACTTAAGTAGTCCTTAATTTAAATTAAGTACTTAATTATGCAAGAATTAAAGCGCTTTTAGCTAAAAGCATAGCGCTAGCCCTTTTTATTTAAAATAAAGTTTTATTTATTATTAATATTAACTATTTTTTATATTATAACCTTATTAAGAGAAAGCTTATAAAGATTTATTAAATACCTTTTAATTAGCTTTTAACCTCCCCTTAAACCCTTTTTATTTAATTACTTACTTAGCTTTAAAGTAATTATAATATTATTAATCTTAATAGGTAATTTATAAGGGGTAATAAAGAACTTAAGTATATAAATTAAAGTAACCTTTTTACTTATAAGCTTATTCTTAATAATCTTTATAATAATAAAATAGGCCTTAATAACCTACTTATAAAAGGTTATTACATTGCCTTTAATTAGCTCTTATTACCTTCTTAAGATGCTTTTAAATATTTATTAATAAAGTTAAACTTTTTCTTAATAAAGAAAGAGTTATTACCATTATTATTATTATTAATAATTTCATAAGCCTTTTTAATATATTAGCAATAAAGCTAAGTAGTTTGCTTAAACTTAGTTTATTAAATATTAATTAATCACCCCTTAAGAACCCCTTGGAAATTTATACCTTAATTACGCATCCTTTAAAAGGGCAGAAAACCATGCTTTTAATAATATAAATAATCTCTTATTTACTAGGTTTAATAATAAGCGAAATAATATTTAAGCTATATAGTTTTTCCTTAAAGGCTAGGTATTAAGCAATCCATAGCTATTTATATAAATTATTAATAAATGCTCCTTAAGCTCCCCTTAATTACTACTTAAAACTTATATTAAAGATAGTTTTAGCTATTATTGCGGTAATTATAAATATATACTTAAATGTTACTTAAATTATACTTAGGAGATTAAATAAGGGGCTTTAAAAGGGTACTTATTTAATAATTATTATATAGGAAAGTTATGAATTTAAATAATTAAATATATAGCAGCGGTTAATTAACATAATAAGCAAGCTATTTTTTAACTGCTTTTTAAAGGCAATGTAAGTATAATATAATTATATTTTAAATATATTATAAATATAATATAAATGCAATTTAAAAGTTATTAAATTGCAATTCATTAAGTAAAACGTTTTAATCCCGGTTTAAGCTTAATTTAAATATGCTAATGGCTAATTAATATAATAGGTAAGTAATTATATAATAATATATTAAGGGTAATTTAAGGGGGGAGTAAGTAAAATATAAATAACTTTATTATATAAGTTAAAAGTATATATAATATATATTTTATATCCCTAACCTTATTAACTTAATAAGGAGTTTTCATTAGCTGCATAAGGGCTGCATAAGGGTATTTAATAAAATGTATATTTAGTTATATTTATAAAAAACCTCCCGACTAGTTTAAGCCTAATTGGGTGGTGACGCTAGGCCGAGCTTTAGCGCATTCTTGCCGAGCTAACAGCCCCTGGCTGACTGATTGACTGCTTGACTTGCTGCACTTTGCACTGGCAAGGCGGGGCCGCAGGCCAATCTCTCGGGTGCCTGGGTACATACTTTGTACATCTAATATTACTCTATGCGTGCGACAGATTGCGTTGCTCTCACCGGCTCGCCACTTCGAACGCCTCGATTATGCTCGGCCTTTTTCTGCCAGACTAACACCTTGTTTTGCAGAAGGCTGCAGCTGCACCTGCAGGTGGGCACCACGTTTGTTGTTATTATTGTCCAGTCCGTGTACCGTACTCGTACTGTATATACACAGTATCTCCATTGCAATGCGATCCAGCAGCGCACACTACATGTCATCTGCATAGCGTTGCAGTGGTTTCTAGACTATCCGCCCGACGCAATTGATCCTGAACCGCGCTACACGGGCCCACGCCAGCTCGACTTTGCAGTAGTCGCAGCCTTATTCAGGTGCGGGAGCGGAAAGTCAAAGAGAGGGGGAGAAAAAAAGCAAAAGTGACACTCCCTCGTTAGTGGTTCCTGTGTCCGCGTATCCAATAATTATGCAATCACCGCGGAGTTTCCGAACTGGCCGGCGGCCCCCAATGCAAGTCATTTCAATCTCCGCCTCCTTGAGGGGGACCCAGTCGCCAAGCTTTATTATCAGCGCAGATGGATCCTGATAATCGAATTAGCTCCAAGATCAGTCGAGGCTCTACCCGGTCAGGGGTGGCTGACCGGCGTGGGGCCAGCGTCTGGTACCGCGTGCCTCGTGCAGTCACAATAATGAGGCTGCTCTAAATGCGGCTTTGATGATGTGCACACCCGCAGCGTTATCAAAGAATGATAGGATCGCGATAAAAACACGCGCTTACTCTTGTCGGCCTCGGATGAGACGCTAGAAGCAGAATGTCGTTGCGGCTTACGTAGCAGGCACTCAAAGCACATGGAAAGAAGCCGGGAAAGGCACACATATGCGAAGGCGATTGTCTCGTAGCATCTTGCAGAATGACATCTCACACTGGGGATATTAACGTGATTAGCCCACGGGTTTCTCCCACAGGACCAGTGTGCTGATCAAGCCATACTGTACACCGACCATTGGCATCCCTGAGCTGCACAAGGAAATACTCGGCCCAGTTGGCGAGCTGGATGCCAGCATTGGTATCAAGATCCACAGGCGGGGCTGGACCCTGAGTCCTGCCATCTTGCACCACTGACTTCTGCAAACACTTCACTCGGCCGTGCAGTCCCAATCGATGATGACGGTAGAATCATTCCACCGGGATGCGGTTCAACGTGGGTCAGGAACTCTGCACTCGAGTCAGACCTTGTGCCCGCCATCTCGTCGTCGGTGCATAGCTTCACACCAAGAACCTCGGAAAACAGCGCCGCCCTATCGTAGTGATGGCATAGAGCAACTCATTCTTTTGGATTAGTTCCTGGCGACAGGCCGTGAAATGAATACTGTACAGTTGCCATCTCAAACGGCACACCATCCGCCAAAAAGTGATGGCCTGTCATTGCCTTCAGTCCAGCCGGTTAAACCCATGATATGTGCGCACCACAGTCTGTTTCAGTCAACGCCGACCATTGACAAGTGGATACCTTCGCCTGGAAAGTTCCCTGCAGATTGGTGCCTTCGTGGATGACACGAGAAAGGAGCCCCGTCCCCGCAAAGACAAACGTCCAAGTTGACCAGAAAGCTCCAGGTTCAAAGATCAACGTCGGACTCGTCCACCTCCAACGCGGGAAAATTCCAGCGGTGTGCTGACAGCGCTTCTTTTGACAAGTGGATGGGAATAGCAATTGACAACGTGCAATTCAGCCAATCGTTCCTCCTGGACATATCGATGCTTCTCAGAGGGTACGGGTTGTTCAACTGTTCGACCGGAATTTCAGTGTCGAGTGCCCAGATTTGCACAGTGTGCTGAATGATCACAAAAGCGAACATGACCCGTGGGAAGTGCTCGACTCCTCGTTGCTCCCACTGATGGCGATATCTCTCCACGCCTTGCCGGCAGAAGCGCATTGCCTCCGCATGTACCATTTGCTGGAGTTGATCCTCTTCAACGTCGGCGAACTGGAGGACAGGGAACTTGATGATCAGTATGGGACTGGAGTAGGCGTAGGAGCCAAGCAGCTTAGCATCCTTCTCGACCGATGCGTTGTATCTCCGGAGTTCCTGGTCGATGAGGTCGGCCATTTTGTCATGGAGACCATCTTGCCGATAAGCGCAGATGCGAATTTGCAGCTCGAAAAGGTTCCGCAGTGCTCGCGTGGCTGTCGCTTGTGTGTTAGCTCCTGCAAGCTGGCAATAGATACGAATCAAACAAACCTCTGAATTGGTTCGACTCCGCTCTGATGAGAGTTTTCTTCTCCTCGTTTCGGGTCGCGAAGAGCCCGCTCAAGTAAGGGTGATCAACAAGATCACACTTCCAGGAGGAGGGAAACAACGAGTAATATCCGCAAAGCGTCATGAGCTTGTGGGCCTTTGCAGCGTCCCTTGCCCAATACCTGATACCCGTCACCCTGGTTCTCTCAACTCGGTACCAGTCGATATCTTCACTTTCGACGTCGTACTCATCCTGGAAGTCCTCTTCAGATTCGTAGTAGTCGTCGAGGTTGGTGGGAGGGTCTTCGTAATCGTAATTGTCATCATCCTTGTCCTCATACTCGTTGTTCTTCCCATCAGGCCCCTCGTTCTCGTCAGGGTACTCATCCTCGTCCTCTTCGTCGCTACTACGGCGGCGTCGACGCCGACTGGTGCCGCCACGGAGGCTAGGTGAGGCGCTCTGGTTGTCCGAAGTCTCATCATCGACCTCTATGCTCTGAATGGGTTCGTCCATATCACCAAGATCGCCCTGCGTAGTACTAGCCGCCTGTGAATGTGGCAAAGTGTCCTCGGACTCGTCTTCAGCAGACTCGTCCTCTGAGTCGGCACACACGCCGTAGTCACGGTCGTCCTCGCGAACATTAAATGAATAAGCGAAATGGTCTTCTTGTTCTTCTTGTTTGATCGCGCGCTCGACTTCCAGTCTGATTTGCTGCTCAGGGCCGTCGTCGTCGTCAATGGATGAGCTTCTAGGTGCAGTTGCGTTTGGGTCTGAGTGGAGTCCCAAACCCTCAGCAGGTGATGATGCGGTGCGGCGGCGAACTGAGGATGACTTGGAGACTCGCCCTGCCCAAACTCGATTGAGCCTGCTGCCAACAGTCCTCGCGAGCCGAGCCGAAAGATTGTACGAGAATGAAGGCATTGCGACTAAAGTGAGAGCAGTTGTGGGAGGCAAAGAAAGAAAGAAGGGTCTTTGAGATTCGAGTGCTGGGGATAAAGCGAAAGAAAACCTTAGTTCGATTGAGACGATGACGGCCAGAACGTGGTAGTTTCGTTGCGACTAGATGTTTTCAACCCAGATGAATTGAGGCATGTATCTTTGACAATGGAGAGAGTGCTCATTGTGCATCTGCATCCCCGATTCGTCTTCCCCTTCCCAATACCCACCGGCCGCGGCGGTACTGAAGGCAGCCTACAAGCATGGCAGTGAACCGAAACTGGGAGTGAGGCGTCAGAAGTCGCGGACAGCCCCGAAAGCAGCGGCGACAGTGCTCTGCAAATAAAGGAGCAGTTGCTTCAGATGCGGTTCAGGCAGTGGGCCGTTTCCGGTAACTGATTTGGCGCCGTTGGAGTCGTTCGCAGCAGAACGTGCAGCCACGGCCCTTGCTCCTGCCTGGGTACCTACCTGCCTGCCCTGCCCAGGAGTCTGGCAGACCCACACCGCAGGGACCAGGGTACCTGGGTCCCACCTGCCCAGATGGGCGGGCGGGCATGCTGGCATTGCATGGAAGAAACCAACGCCTCTGCCCTGCAACCTCTCTCCATCCAGCCCAACTTTGCTGCCGCGATCTGACGCGCCAGAAGTAACGACGTCAGCCTCCTTTCTTTTTTCACTGTCGCATTCACTCCCAGGACCGCATCTTTACTGCATTCCCCCCCGTTTCCATAATTCTACCCGGAGAGTTATCGTTGCAGACTTCGATCTCTTTTCTTTCCAGCCATCGTGCGAACCAACAATGAGCCTACTTGCTCCAATCTCGCACCAAATCTAGTCACCATGTCTTCGAGCGACTGGGCCAGTCTGAAGGTCGTCGAACTGAAAGCGGAGTTGCAAAGCAGAGGTTTAAGCACCAAAGGCGTCAAGGCCGATCTCGTCAGACGCTTGGCAGAAGCTGATGCCGACGCCGCCGCCGCCACCGAAGACCAGGAGGCAGCAGGATCCCATAATGGAGACATCGCCAGGCCAGCCGATGATGCGTCCCAAGGAGAAGATGTCATTGCGCAGCACAGCAGCGAGGACAAGTCGGCCGCGACTGAAGGCGCGGATGTGAACATGACTGGTGATGCGCCAAATACAATTGCGACACAATCTGAGGGCGTTGCAGAGCCTGTGGCACAGGACGCAGCCGCGGAACAACTTACCGTCCCTCAGTTTGACGCCGACAACACGTCCTTGCCGCCTTCCGCGCCAGCTCACGATGCTTCTCTCGACTTGCAGAAGCGTAAACGCCGATCCTCCACACCGCCTCCTTCTACGAAGCGGGCCAAACAGGAGGAAGAACGTCACGCTGAGGAACAGGAGGATGTCGTCGATTATGAGACGGGTGATCTGTCTGGCAGCCCGGAAAAGAAGCCTCTAAACGGCGCGACAGAATTACATGGACGGGAAGAGACGGGCGCGGTAGAGGCCGAGAATCATCGCGTTGCAGAACCAGCAACTACTCACGCACCAAACGCGCTCGAGGCTAGCGGGGAGGAGGCAGATTTGGCCAGGGCAGCTGCAGCAGATGCCCCCAAGGCGTTTTCAGTCACACAATCACCAGAGCGAAAACCAGAGCTGGAGGTCAGTGGCGAGGATGCATTCATGAGGAGAGTAGCCATAGGAAGGCACTCTGAAGCACCGTCGCAAACGTCGCAGCCATCCCACCATCCGCGCGAGGATCGATCTCAGGTAAACCAGCAACCACACAGAGAGTCCGCCGCGCCGGAGGTCGGGCACTCGCCCCCATCAGCCCATCCTCCGACCTCAGCCCTGTACATCCGGGAGCTGATGCGACCCTTGAGGTCTGAGACGGTTGAGGAGTACATCGTCGACCTGGTAACACCACAAGGCAGCCAGCCTGACCCCAGTCTCATCGAGGACTTCTATCTGGATCAAATACGTACGCATGCATTCGTCAAGCTGGCCTCGGTCTCAACCGCTCAACGCGTTCGTGCCGCAATGCATGATCAGATTTGGCCCAACGAGCGGAACAGGAAGCCTCTGTGGGTGGATTTCATCCCGCCTGACAGCATGAGGGAATGGATCGACCAAGAGGAGTCTGGAGCGAGAGGCAATGCACACCGCTGGGAAGTCGTGTACGAGCAGGACGGCGACCGCGTCGTAGCTGTTCATAGAGCAGCTGGCTCAGACAGCAAGTCGTTTTCAAAGCCCCCTCCGACTGGTCCGGCCGTGGGCTCTGGTCCTGGCCCTGTATACCCTGGGATTGAAGCTGCACCGAGAGGCCCTCGCGGTCGGGGCGGTCCGCCAGTTCGGCTAAACAACCCGAATTTGCTTCAAACGCAAGCCAACCCTCCACTGTCATACCAACCCCTGGGTGAAGACATAGCACAGCGTCGTGTTGAGAACATGCGTTCTTTCTACTCGACAATCCCACCACACGACCTTGGCAAAGATTACCATCGGTACACCTTCGAAAACAGCGATTCTTTTGTTGACAGAGGCACTGAGGTCTTCATCGGCATCCGGCCTCCCCATCGGGAGAAGGAGCACCAGGAACGTCTTCGCCTTGAGCGCCTCGGACTGTCTGGCGCTGGCAGTGCGGCCGATTCGCAGTCTCGCAGAGAGGACTACCGGGCCCCGCCCCGTCCACCCATCTCTGAATTCGACCGATACTCGAGCGACCGTCGCTTTGGAGGTGATCGCCGGCCTCGAAACCGTGGTTTCCGCGGCGATCGAGGATCTCAACGGTTCCGGGGAGAAGACCCTTACCGCTACAGACCAGGCTACTAAGAGCTTACACAAAGACTCAAGATACGAGAGGTGAAGGCTTTCTTGGCCGTGGGGATCATAAATCATGGCCCTGTAACGCCTGCGTTTATAAGCTCCCGAGAAATGGCTGTCGGCATTCTTGGGCAGCACAATTGGGGTTGATGAATGGCAAATAGATCACCCTGCACCCTGAACTACCGTGTTCAGGTATCCAGCCAGGATGGACAGTCTCAGGAACCATAACTGGCAGCGGACATCCCGAAGAGCTCTTTCGCGTGGCCCATACCATGCTTTGGCGATGCTCAAAGTCAGCTGTGGTAGTCTCGGGTCAAATACGCAAGAAAGACGGCGACTGGCGATTTGACCACGTGGAGACACTGTAAAGCATAGAAAATGTAAATAGTGACGAGGTAGATACCCTGAAAATGATAGTGAATTGATTGATCCGTTGCGATCTTGAGACCGCTCGTCGTCATTGCATTTCTCACATGCTGCACCTCATGCTCCTTGCCTGGGTCGGCCCTGGGAAGACAGCCTTATCGGTAGCTTATCGGAGCCCAAGGAGCTATTGGAGGGGCAACTTTTCAAAACTTTTGGGGACTCGTCGCATCGCTGGTTTCGTTAATCTGATCTCGCGAATTCAGTCTACTGGGTAGCTCTCATAACTCCTAGCACGTCTTGACATCCACAATGGCGAAGAAGCGTGCAAGAGATGCAGATGGCCAGTCCGAGGCGGCAGCCGCTTCGGTGGACAAAATGGACGAGGACGGCAGCTCAGACGACGATGTAAATTTCACATCCTTTTTCTCAGTTCACAGGCACGCGCGTCTCACTAACACCGACTCTCAGGATTTCAACATCGTCAACGTCGATTTTGAGTGGTTCAACTTCGACCCCGAGATTGACTTCCACGGCGTCAAGCAGCTACTCCGCCAGCTCTTTGATGTTGATTCTCAGCTTTTTGACATATCCGCGCTCGCGGATCTCATACTGCAGAACCAGACCATCGGCTCAACCGTCAAGGTCGACGGCAAGGGCAACGACGCGTACGCCTTCCTCACGGCGCTGAATCTCAAGGAGCATAAGGACAAGAAACCCGTGATAGACCTGGTCGAGTACATTTCCACGAAGGCCGGCGAGTCCGGCAACGAGGACCTTGCTGCGATCATTTCCAAGGTCCTGGCGGAGAACCACGTCGGCTTGGTTCTAGGGGAGCGCCTCATCAACATGCCCCCCGAGATCTCACCGCCAATGTACTCGATGCTGGTTGACGAGGTAGAGGCCGCCGTGGAGGACAAGGAGCCGTACGACTTTACGCACTACCTCGTGGTGTCCAAGACCTACAACGAGGTGCAGAGCATCCTGGACGGCGAGACGCAGAAGCGCAAGAAGGCCAGGGAGGAAGCGCCCTTGTTCCACTTCCACCCGGAGGACGAGGTGTTTCAAAAGCACGCCGTTGCGTACGGGAGCTATCCGCTGACAAAAGACGACGAGAGCGTGGCGGACAGCAAGAGGGCATTCCAGGAGATGGGGGTCAAAAACATGGGGTATATGGCTTTGATTGAGGCGGCCAAATTCCCTGAGGCCGTGAAGAAGGTCGCAGAGTACCTGAACCCACAATGAACCAAATGATTCCCGCGAGCTCTCCAAAGGGAGCATCTATTGGATTGTATTCTTTTCTATTTGGTGAAAAAACCATCGCTTTTCAAGTGGACGCGCAAATTCGTCGCATTACATCTACGCCTTTTCTAAGCGCGGGCAATGGCGCCCTGCTCCCTGAGATGCCCCCCCCCCCGGAAAGCTGCACGACGCCTCTCGCTGGGCCGCTGCTTCATGCCGCTGGCTCTAACCTCTGCATCAGATACTCCACCTCGACCTCCTTCGTCAAGGGGATGACAAAGTCCTTGTACATGGCCACCACGGCGTCGACGTTGATCTTGCTCTGCTCCGCGCCAACACCGACGGAAGGGTCGGTGCCGTAGGTCTGGGCCTTGAGCTTGAGGCGCTCGAGGACCTGCTTTTCGACGGCGGCGTTGGTGATGGAGGCGCCGATGCCCTCACGGTCACTGGCCTTGATCATGCGCGTGTAGGCCTCAGTGTCTGACTGGAACTTAGACTCGGCGACAAACTTGCCAAAGTGTATCCTCCGCGAAAGTGCCTGCAGGACGGCGATGTCGCACGTCGCGCTGCTGCCGTAGTTCTCCTGCGAGACGCCCCGGTCTCCGTGGCCAAAGTCCGGGCACACGCGCGGCAGGAACTGGTCGATATAAAAGCGCTTAATCTTTTCGTTGACATTGACGTCGTTGGGGTGGAGGATCCTGGGGTAGTCTATGGCGGGGAGGATGGGCTGTTTGAGCGACGAGGGGAAGAAGGGGTACTCGTCGGGCGACTCGTAGCGGCGGATGAGGGACTGGAGCTTCTCCTGCTCGACGAAGTACCAGTCCATTAGGGAGAGGTTGGTGTCGGGTATTGGTACTGCGCCGGGGACGTAGATGTTGCTGTTTAACGGGAACTGGACGCGCTCGATCAGGTGGAAGGTGATTGTGTCTTCAAGGCGGCTGTACTTGGGCCGTCAGCTGTCAAATCCTATTATTCTACGCGGGAGCGCAGTATTGAGGGTTCGCGGAGCCTCACATGAGCTGAAATCGGATGCGCGACAAGTCGAGCGCCTTGGAGGCGTCGGAGAGGTCGATTAGGGAGTCCATCTCGAGCGTGTTAGATTGGGTGAGGGCGGTTAGAGGGCGGTGCTATTTGCGGAGGGGAAACCCGAGATGAGAGCCCTCAGCCTTTGGACACGGGGCTTTTTCTTGGATATGCGAGGGTGAAGTATTCTTTGCGCGTCGGAATGACTCAAATAATCATCGTGGGCCTTGACGGCACTTTGTCAGGACCGGTTCGGAAGCTCGAGTGCTGAGCAGGGGTCTTGGAGCGACTTTGAGTTCCGAGCCGCTTCCGCCGTGCACGGAGGGTTGGCGGGGTTGTCGAGCCGACTCGCCCCCGTGAGTGACGCAAGGGTGTCGCTGGTCCGGCCCTCAATTGGGTTGCCCGTGTCGCGTGCAGGTAGTGCTAGTGTAGCAGCTGCCAGGCGAGCTGGCCAATCTCTGCCCGATGCAGCGGGCGGGTGGCATCCCTCGAGCTCCAGCGAACCCTCGTCTGTGATCTCGCATTTACGCGACCCTACTCCCGCGACTCGATCCGACATTTTCAATTGCTCTCACCGACCGATGCTGCATTTTGGGCTCAACCGCTTCTCCTCAGACTTCTAGAACGCGGCAACTCACCCACCGGCAGAGGCTAGCTGCAGACAGAAACCTTACCGACCGAGCTCCATCCGAGCTCCACTTGTTCTCCATTGTTTAACGCATGGCCAGCACCGGCGACCACAATGCTTTTTATGACGACCATGGTGATTCGTCAATCATCTCGGTGCGCACCTTCTCCCACCTCTACAGGCACTTCCTCTGAGGAGTCTCTGCCCTGTCTCTCTGTGTCTGTGTATCCAAGAGGCACGCCCCGCTGACGGCAGCGTTATGACCCATGCAGACCCGTGGCTTTGAGGCTTTCGGCCGCAAAGTGACGACGACGGCCAGTCAACTGATGGGCCCTCTGTCCGATCCGACCGGCCACCAGCACTACCAGTCCGCCATGGGCGAGGTGACAAAACAGCTGCGGAGGCCGAACCTCCAGCGGAGCATGTTTTCCAGGGCACGGACGACCCCTACCGACCTTGTGCGGTCAAAGCTTTCCACGACAGAGATACAACAGCGGGCACTGTCATACGTACCAGATGCCTTGCTTAAGGACATCCCTGAGGATGAAAACTCCTACTCGCTGTTTCAAGGCTTCAAGGCCTCCTTCCCAGATTTCACCGACGATGGAAAGAAGCACAGGAGAAGGGTCTCGAGGGGAAGGAAATTGATCGAGGACACACGGATCGATCCCAACAGCCCGCAGGCGGTACAGAAACTTCAAAAGGAAAAGGCCGCCATGTTGCACGAATTCGAGATGTTGGGCGTGCGGAAGAATATGGCAAGCAGCGAGATCCGGGAAATCGACAACAAGATAGCAAATCTATTGGGGATGCGGAAAATTATCTTGGAGAGGCTGGCCGGCTTTGAACAGGACGAAGCGGTCCTAGAACACGATAGTAAGACTGCCGCTCGACCCCGTCATCGTACGAAGAACTAACACCCTCCAGTTGTCGATGTGGAGAACCGCTTAGAGGAGGCTGAAGAGCTGGTCGCCGAAGCCGAGTCCGTGGCAGCCCTCACGCCAACCAAGGGCAGTGACGCTGGGGAAGACGACGGGGACTCAGGCTTTATGTCACAGTCGATATACGAGAAGTTGCCATCCGCTCATAGCACGCCCACCAAGTCGAAGAAGCCAAGAAGTCTGCGGAGAAAGTCGATGCCAATCTTACATGAGCACATCGAGCCGGGCACCTCTATTCGGGAGATTCGTGCTCACCAGGACTCCATCACAGCCATGGACTTCGACGCTCCCTTCGGCACAATGGTCACTTCTGCTCTGGACGACACTGTGAGGGTTTGGGACCTGAACGCAGGACGCTGCATCGGAGCCCTTGAGGGCCACACAGCCTCTGTCCGAACCCTGCAGGTCGAAGACAATATTTGCGCTACGGCATCTGTGGATGCTACGATCCGCTTGTGGGACCTCAGCAAAGCACAGTACGACCCTCTAGGCGGGCAACTCGATCAGGACGAAGATGAAGACGGCATGGCCTTTGAGAACCCGGAAGACCAGCCTGTAGACCCACCCGCGGGAAGCATGGACGGCTGCGCCCTGACGACATTACAAGCGCACATGGACGAGGTCACTGCCCTTCACTTCAGGGGCAATACTCTGGTATCTGGCTCAGCTGACAAGACAATCCGACAATGGGACCTGGAGAAGGGGCGGTGCGTGCAGACCCTGGACGTGATGTGGGCTGCCGCTCAGGCCTCAGTCACTTTGGGAGAGAACACTTGGAAATCGACAAGCCGCGCGCCTGTACCAAACGCCGACTTTGTTGGCGCATTGCAGGTCTTTGACGCCGCGCTCGCGTGCGGAACAGCTGATGGAATGGTCAGGCTTTGGGATCTGCGTAGTGGTCAAGTTCACCGGAGCTTAGTCGGCCACACCGGACCCGTGACGTGTCTTCAATTTGACGACGTTCACCTGGTAACAGGAAGTCTGGACCGGAGCATTCGGGTAAGTCCTCCTTTCGCCCTGTTGTAAAATGCCAACCTCTTTCGGTTTTCCAAGTGAGTTGTGTTAACACCATCTCAGATATGGGACCTCCGAACTGGGTCCATTTATGACGCATACGCTTACGATCACCCCGTCACGGCCATGGCGTTTGACAACCGGAGAATAGTCTCGGCCGCAGGCGAAGACGTGGTCAAGGTATACGATAAGCTGGAGTCTCGCCAGTGGGACTGCGGTGCTGGGGTCAAAGCCGCGAGGAGGGCAAGGCGCCGCCGGCTACTGTGGGACGCGTGGCCCTACAAGATGGCTATTTGCTGGAAGGCCGCCAAGATGGCATTGTTGGCGTGTGGACTTGCTAGAGCTGTGGAAGAGAAGACGAGATGTATAGAATGGGTGTGCATAATGCATACACACACCCACACTTATGCAATGACATCAATGTATTACTCCGTGAAGCTCCAATCCAGGCGCCCTGCTGGGAGCATGGCTTTGTAGATATGCCTCGGGGCCTGTCTATGCTGGGCTTCGTCTACGCATCGCCCGGCGCCGACACAAGTCAATGCAGTTCGCAGGAATCTCGCATATCGGCATAGAGCTCGACTGGTACATCACCCAGCATGATGGCCTGCATATGATGATTGACACTTGTCGAGCAAAAGCCCTCAACTATTGGCTCGTGTACGGTGTTACTGCATACACCATGTACCTAGGGGTGGTTGTTCTCGATTCGCTTGTGCGGGCTTCTCTAGAGGGAGCATCTGCACAGAACCTTACGATCCTTGCGAGCTGTGTTACGGTTGACGCCAGCCCTGAGGCAGGCAACGAGCGATCCTAGATAGGACTTGAAGCTATCCCCAGTGTTCTCGGTCGCAACGGTCTTTAGCCGCGCGTTAAGTCCGATCGGACATTGGTCGTTAACAACGATCATCAACCATTGCGCATTTGTAAGTTCCTCGTCATCGTGTTCGTATATCTACCGGGCGATCGAGATACTGCCCACTTGGAGCCCCATTACTGTAGTTTTTGCTGGGCGTTCACAGCCCACCAGGTCGTGGTCAGAGGAGGTGTTCCAGTCTAGGTGGAGTGGAGCTGTATACAACCCCTGGCTGTGATATTGGGACACTTGACATTCGACAATCGGCGACTTTTTGGAAAAATTGTATCAGAGCGATGGGCCAAGGGTCCGGCCGTCCCCGCGCCGATGAAACTTATTAGAAAGTGCCCTTCTATGGAGATCTTGACGTCTGGGAGAGTTTGGGCCATGGGCTAGAAGAGGGGAACGCTGAAGTACCGACCTAGATGAGGAGGTTCCAAAGTATTTTGCAGTCAAAGCTCCTTCTCCGCCGACAATCCCGCATGTGGCTTCCTATATATATTTAAACTAGTCTCATAACTCTTTCCGTCTCGCTCTTCTGCCGCGCTTCACTTCATCAAACAATCCCTTCTTTTCAGAGACCAACTGGAACACACCTACGACTGTTATCCTTACTTTGGTTCCGAGAACAATACTGCCAAGATGTCTGCACTTCCAATGGCACCCCCGCCGAAGGGCCCTCTGAACCGTTATCGCCTGCTGTCACCATCAGCATCTCTGAGGGTCTCGCCTCTCTGTCTCGGCGCCATGAATTTTGGCAACGCCTGGGAGTCCTACATGGGAGCCTGCGACCAAAAGACCACCGAGGGCATCTTGGACTACTTCTACGAACAAGGCGGAAATTTCATCGATACCGCCAACAACTACCAGTTCGGTGAATCAGAGATGTGGATCGGAGAATGGATGAAGAAGCGTGGTAACAGAGATGAGATGGGTAAGTAACCAGACCAGGGAAGGGGACATCTGCAGGTCGATGATGATAATGTCTCACCTGACACTCTGCATCCAGTCATCGCGACCAAGTACACGACGAACTTCATGGGCGGACCGCCTGGAGAAGGACGCATTGTGAGTGGTGCCACGATTGTGCCAGGTCGCTGATAACCGACTGACATCTCGAAGATGGCAAATTTCACCGGCAATGGCACGAAGAGCTTGCACACCTCACTGAAGGCCAGCTTGAAGAAGCTGAACACTGATTACATCGACCTTCTTTACGTTCACTGGTGGGACTTCTCTGTGTCGGTAAGTTGGGGCCCCTGGTCCTCCGGAGTCCTCGTGGGCGGGCGGCAGGTCTTGTGTTGTCCAGAATGCCACAGGTCAAGATTGAAGCACTGCTGTTCCAAAAGCCAACTGCTGTCATCGGTCTGAACTTCCGAAAAAGGCAACAAATAAGCTGACACTGGGCTCTTTTAGATCCCTGAGCTGATGCAGAGCCTCAACAACTTGGTGGTCCAAGGCAAGGTCCTCTACCTGGGAGTTTCTGACACACCGGCCTGGGTAGTTTCCAAAGCCAACCAGTATGCGCGGGACCATGGTCTGAGGCAGTTCTGCGTGTACCAAGGCCGCTGGAATGCAGAGAGCAGAGACTTCGAGCGGGAGATCATCCCAATGTGCAGAGAGGAAGGGGTAAGCACCACTCTGAATCTAATTTGTACTGTACAACAACTAAACCCAGAACAGATGGGCCTGGCTCCATGGGGAGCTCTCGGCGGAGGAAGCTTCAAGACTGAGGAGCAGAGGAAGTCTCAGGAGGGCCGTAAGGTTCAGGCCACTGAGCAGCAGATCAAGGTCTCGGGCGTTCTTGAAAAGATCGCCAACCGCAAGAACACAGTCATTACGAGTGTTGCTCTGGCATATGTCATGCACAAGACCCCTTATGTGTTCCCCATTGTTGGCGGCCGCAAGGTTGACCACCTGAAGGGTAACGTTGAGGCCCTGAAGCTGCACCTCTCGCACGAGGACTTGAAGGAGATCGAGGACGCTGTGCCATTCGACCCCGGCTTCCCCAACATCTTCCTCTATCAGGGACAGTCTGTCGACCACCCAGGCGAGGTTTGGTTACTGGGCATGGCCGGAAAGTTCGACTATGTCCCTCTTCAGGAGGCCATTACACCGGCTGAGAACTAGGGGAATCAGCCGGTGGCTCATCCTCGCAACGCTCACTACCTGGCATGGGGTGCTCATGACGACTGGCAGCAGAGAAGTCATCCATACCAACAGCACTGGGACCACCAATACGCTTGGGGACCAAGATACGGCAACCGCTAGGAGGTTTGGAGACGTTGAGGGCTGATGGACAGCATGGATGGCTCCTATACTGTTAGCCATGACAGACTGCTAGCTTTAAAACCTGCAATGCGGTGCTTCAATACAAATTTGACGTTGGTCTTGATGTGCTGTTTTACATCTGATTTTGGAGCAAATTTGCAGTTCTATGCGGCTGCGTTTCCATTCTAACCGATATGCAACCACCAGCGCCTGCATCAATGTGATATTACCACCAGGTGTAGCGAGAGCCACTACATAAGATCCATGTTGGAGTGGAAATTCCCAGACAAGTTGTATCAGTACGTACATTAGAGGGGTATCAGGTAGGTACATTGGAACCAGGCATCATGTGGAGTGCGTTCAGTTTAACTGGAAGGCAGGAGCACAAGACCGAAGCTCCTTCCTTCAACCCAGCCTAGGAGTTTGATCGGGGTCGAGCGAGGGAGCACTCGATCGTCCACGCGAAAACTTCCAGCAACTCCTCAACTTCACCATTTCCATCTTCCGTCCAAGATTCGCCTCTGAGTCCAGGGTCGTCACCACTGACGGCCCTTCGTTTCAATTGTCATTTGGTTCACCCTAGTGGCCTTCCCAGGATGATCTAGCCATTATGCCACGGCAAACCAACCCCAGTGACTTGCCTGGAGTCGCAAAGGCTCCCGAGGCAAGGTTGCCATCCAGCCACAAGACACTCTTACGTACATACTCCCGCCGTTCCCTGAAGAGACGGCACACATCGCCTCCGGCGCAAACCGTGGAGCGATTCCTCACACGCACTAGGAGTCTGAGTGTAACAGAGCAAAAGACTACCGAACATCGCAATGCGGCCAAGAATCAACAGCCTTCGCGATCAATCCCAAACAAAGACCGCAAGCGCTTGAGGTTCTCCTTGGCGTCCGCAGAGAACAAGACGCCGAGTGACCTCGCTTGGGAGGCGCTTGCCTCATCTGCGCCTGTATTGACACGAGAAGACGATGGCTCCTCAGACGAGGGAGGATCACATGAGACTCATGTCGTTGAATGCTCGCCTGGTCATAAGGGATCAGTGCACCAGCAACCAGCCGCCGGAGACGTGGTGAAAGGTCCAACCAAAAGCGGTGAAAGAAGACCTCGCGGAGATGCGGCCTCAGAAGTTGATGCTCTAGAGAATATGAGCTTGGAGGAATCTGACGAAGTTGAAGATGGTGAGGAACATAATTGCTATTATAACACGAGCATCGCTGACCCTGCATTTATTCGTCAGACTCTTCCGAGCCTGGCCAAGACGGAGAGGCCGACATCACCGCTTTAACATCATCATCTGAAGGCGATGGGACCTCCATTCCCACCAACGCAGAAAGTCAGAAGCCAAAGACCAGGGGCCGCTTTTTGATCTTTGACAGATCCCCACCGAAGGGCTTCAAGGTGCTTCACAAGCCTCGAGTCAACCCGGAGACGAAACCGCCGATAACCAAGAATAGACAGAAGCTGACCGACGGATTCACCGAAGACGAGGCGCGTCCCCTCTTCCTTGGCAAAAGAAGACGGCTTCAGCAGCTTGACATAAATGTCGGAAGCCTAGACCTGACTCAGACCGGCAAAGCCTCACAGCAAAGGCAAAGAGAAATCAGTCCCGAAGTCAAAAGGCAAACCCAAACTCGGACGACTGCCGGTCTATGGCGTGGACGGCAGTACTTCGGCTCATCGCAGTTCAAAATAGAGTCTCAGGATCCTGACGAGTCTTCTGAGGTCAAGGAAGCGACAACAAAAGGTCACAAGATTGATCTTGATAGGTACGGCAGGCCAATCCGTTTGGTTGACAACTTCGGCCCCATCGTGATCCCACGGACCGACTCTCCTCGGCCAGAGAACTCTGGCAAAATGGACTCATCAAGTGAACCCCCGGGAGAGGTTGTACAGGATTCGAGCCCAAGTATACAACCGTTCCCGAAGCGAAGTATGAATTGTGAGACTGGAAAGTCGAACTCACTGACACTACGTCCTGGCCCGCCTTCCCGACTGAAATCTGACTTCGTGATCACTGATACACCCCTCCAGCGCGGCGATGCAAGCCGGTAATATGGATCACATCTTTCTAGCAATCTTGTTGGTCTCAATCCCAGCCTTGGGAACGGAGAACAGCCATGAGCCAACAAATCCAAAGGAACATCGCTGGTGCTCATCGTTTGAGGATTCTCAGTCATTGTTATCTGGCTCGATAGGTATCTATCTCGAAACTCATCAGTAATTTCGCTCGATTTGTCCCGAGGCAGTGTCGAGGGAAACATGCGGCTTGGGTCAGAGAGTAGGCCTTACCTCATTTTGCTTGTGGTATCAGTCTTTGCATCGCCTCCAGATCACACTGTCGTAATCGTGATTATGATTTGGCCCTTCTAGCTATTGCAGAGCCAGCAGCTATTTCGCTCCCTTGCCCTTCGCCTCTGTCTCGCTCAACTCCCTGATGACCACCTTGGTCTCTGGCCGTGCCCACTGTAATCCTCCTGCCCTGTCTCGAAACCGGGGCAGACACCCGCTGCCATGTACTTCCCGTTGGACGAGAAGGCAAGCGATGCCACACTATTGCCAAAATTCTGGTACTGCTTCATCCTCCTCTTGGCCTCGGCATCCCACAGCGCCACAGTCCCGTCGCCGCCACCGCTCGCAAACGTCTTCCCAAACACAGGGTGGAACGTAAGCGCATTGACAGGAAAGACAACGTCCCCGCCGCCCTCCTCCTCAGGAGCCGCCTGCCGGTGGCACTTGAATGCGTACTTGCGCGCCTGCGACTCAGCCGAGTCCTCGAACCACTCCACGGCGACGCGGCCCTCGATCGAGCTGGTGGCATAGCCGGCATCGTTGGGCATGCAGGCGACGGCCCTGGTCAGGAACTTGAGGGACGACTCCCGCGACTGCCAGGGCCTGATCTCGGGCGCCGACGAGGAGGCGAGCTGCTTGGCGATGGTGGGGAGGTCGAAGATGTGCACCAGCCGCGCGGTCATGGCGACGACGACCTTGGTCGGGCTCGACGACATGGCGTGCGGCTTCCCCGGGAGCTGGACGACGGCCGGGGGGCTGTCGGGCGCGGCGGTGTTGTGGATGTGTAGCGTGCTGTCCCACGAGGCGGAGATGAGGAGTTGGTGCTCGGCGGAGAAGACGACGCAGCGGACGGGCTTGGTGTGTTCGCTCATGACAGTCTGGGAGCCGGTCTCCAGATCGATCCTGTGTTGGTTCACTGTCAGAAGAGAGCAAGATTGGGGCACGCGGGAGGGGCCGTTCTTGGTTGGCCTACCTTGTCACCCTGTGGTCCACCCCGGCCGTGAAGGCTTCGTTGTCGCTAGCGCCAAAGCACACGTCCATAACGGGCGCGCGGTGCTCGAACTGGCGCACCAGTGCTGCTGAAGGTGTCTCGCCATCCTCGACTTCGTATAGGTAGACGTTCTTGTCCCATGACGAGACAAGCAGCCGTGTTGATGATTCTGGAGCGAAGACGACGCGCGATACGGCGTCGTCTGGGGGCTGCGCGACCTCAAATTGCGTTGCTACAATTCTATGTCAGTCTCTGAGAGTCTGAGAGGGAAGCCTCGCATCCTGGAAACATCGCATACCTGGGGCCATGGTGTGAGTTGTATTTGTGGTGAAAAAAGGACAGTGGTTTATGGTCGCTGCAGAAGGAATGCGGTTGGTGTTGCTCGATCAACAAAGCCCACTGTAGTTGATGGACAGGGGAGCTAAGCTGACCCCTGCAGCTTTTTTTTGGTATCCCGCGGCTGCGTGGGGCAGCTTGCGCTTCCACCAACACCAACGTCACTCCCACCTGTCGCTTCAAGATCGCTTCTCACACTGCGGCAAGATAAGTGAACAGTGCAGCACCCTGGACTACTTGTGATCCAAGATGCCGTTCGCACAACTTGTCCTGGGCAGCCCCGGCGCCGGCAAGAGTACATATTGTGACGGCAGTAAGCTAGCCTACCAACAACCTACCGTCCGCGTCTGCCGTCCTGGCTCCAGACTGACAAGTCCATTCCCCAGTGCACCAGTTTATGGGCGCAATAGGCAGACAATGTTCAGTTGTTAATCTCGATCCTGCGAACGATAAAACGAGCTACCCATGCGCTCTAGACATCCGTGACCTCGTCACGTTGGAGGAAATTATGGGCAGCGACAATCTTGGCCCGAACGGCGGGGTTCTCTACGCCCTCGAGGAGCTGGAACACAATTTTGAGTGGCTCGAGGAGGGCTTGAAAGAGTTTGGTGACGACTACATTCTATTTGACTGTCCCGGACAGGTCGAGCTGTACACGCATCACAACTCGTTGCGCAACATCTTCTTCAAGCTCCAGAAGATGGGATTTCGGGTCCGTTGCGGGCAGCCGTCGCTATTTCCTTCACGGCAATGTGCTGACGCAGGACTAGATGGTCGTTCTACACCTCTCCGACAGCTTCTGCTTGACCCAACCCTCTCTTTACCTCTCGAACCTCCTGCTCGCGCTCCGAGCTATGCTACAAATGGACCTCCCGCACATCAACGTCCTTACCAAGATCGACAAGGTCTCGTCATATGATCCGTTACCGTTCAACCTCGACTTCTATACCGAGGTACAAGACCTGTCGTACCTCCTGCCGAGTCTCGAGGAAGAGTCGCCTGCGCTGCGAAGTGAGAAGTTCCGGGCTCTCAACGAAGCTGTCGCGAATCTGGTAGAAAGCTTCGCGTTGGTTCAGTTCGAGGTTTTGGCAGTCGAGAACAAGAAAAGCATGATGCACCTACTAAAAGTGATCGACCGCGCAGGCGGGTATGTTTTCGGCAGCGCAGAGGGAGCCAACGACACTGTCTGGCAGGTCGCGATGAGGAACGAACCCTCCATGCTCGATGTTCAGGACATACAAGAGCGGTGGGTTGACCAGAAGGATGAGTACGACGCGGCTGAGTCCAAGACAGAGGAAGACCAAGCCAAGATCAGAGAAGATCAAGCGAGCGCGATGGGTCAGACCGGTGCCGGGGACGCTGATTTGGACGACGTGCCCATGCCGTTGCCTTCGGATCTCGGCGTCAAAGTAACGCGGAAGAAGAAATGAGTGTCTTCAGTCATTATCTTCAGAGCCGCCGGCGTCAAGATCAGATTCGTCGTCACGGTCAACCATCGCCACATCGTTGGTCGAGTCCTTCGCGCCGAACAAGGAGTGGAGCGCGTTGGTTTCCTTCCCGGCCATCTCATCTTTGGCCGCGAGGATCAGTTGTTTGGCTCGTCGGATGGCCTCTTCTTCGACCTTCTTGATCGTGCCGCTGACGCGCACTACCCGGAAGATGCAGGGAAGACCCGGGCCCTGCTTGGTCGGCACATGCATCATCATGGTAAGAGCCGCCCAGACGAGGCGGTAGTGCTCTCGTGAGCACTGGAGAATGCAAGTTGAAGTCGCATTGGAAAGATACTTGACTATGGAATCGGTCAGTATGGCTGATCAGCTGAAGGCGAGCAGAATCAGACCTCTCAGGCTGCGCTCAACTGCGCCGGCGCCATAGTCACCGAAGAGGTCAGTGACCTGAGCCTTGATAGCGTATTGAATGGAGCGGGCATTGCAGGCGTTCGCAGTGGGTTGGTTGTAAACGAGGAGATCGGGTAAGCCCCGCCTTGGCTTGATTCTGGGCAGCCTCTGGATAGACGATGTCCACAAGGAGATAGCGCTCCTTGATGCGGACCATGTTGGCCTTGTCGTGCGCTTCGAAGTGCGGTGGATGAACGGGATGAGAAATAGTCAAATGAATGCCCGTCTGTTAATGTGAAGCTTGGGAATGGGAATTTGCTGGCCAACCGGAAAGCTGCCAGAGAGCTAAGTGGGGCTAGAAAGAGCTCAATTGCTTCCACCCCTGCCACTTGCACACGTCACTCTCCGCAATCCATCTTCTGAGTCTTCCGGATGAGCGAGGATACGACAACTCCGCTGCCTGTACAGTCCATGTCCCATTTTCCGAATAATTCCAAGTAGACCCTAATATAATAAACTCAATTTTGTCTCGAAATCCCACTGTCAGAGCACATATACAGCTGCTGCGTCCCCAGAACAGGATCATCATGAGCCAGACACTCAAAGCAGCTGTTCTGATCGTCTCGACAACAGCATCCAAGGACCCCACAACTGATGCCGCTGGAGATGCTCTGCGTTCAGTCTTTGAAAAAGATGGAGCTGATCGGTGGCAGGTCGTCGAGACCAAGATTGTCCCAGACTCCGTGGCCCTGATTCAAAGACAGCTCATGTTGTGGGCCGACTCCGCGGATCCGGTCAATTTGATTGTGACCACTGGCGGCACGGGATTCGCAGTCTCGGACCAAACCCCAGAGGTATTCCCCTGAAGAAAATCCTTGGTATTCTCTCAGTCGCATTCTCTGATGAAGGTGGACGAACAGGCTGTATCTGCGCTTCTCCACAAACAAGCACCTGGTCTTGTCCATGGCATGCTTGCTGCTTCTCTGAGTGTCACACCTTGTATGTCTTTCCATGACTGAAACATACTCCATCAGCTGACATTTTCAAGTTGCCATGATGTCGAGACCTGTCGCTGGGGTCAGAAATGGGTCTCTGCTCATCACTCTCCCCGGGTCGCCAAAGGGTGCCAAGGAGAATCTCCAAGCCGTCATCAAACTGTTGCCTCACGCCTGTATCCAGGCCGCCGGCGCGGACTCTCGGTCTATTCATTCTGGGGGCGTCGAGAAACTGGAGAAGGATGCTGGAGTTGGCTCGGCTTCCGGCGACTCTCACTCGCACGGCCACAGTCACGGCCACAGCCATGGCCATGGCCAAGGGCACAGTCATAGCCACGGACACGATCATGGACACGGTGCCCTCGTCAGGCACACTAGCCCCAGCGATAACCCTTTGTCAAATGATCCCCTGCTCGGCCCGACCCGAAGGCACAGGGAGTCGCCTTATGCTATGCTGCCAGTCGAGGACGCGCTGGCGCTTATCCAGGAGCACACTCCTGCTCCCGTTGTCATCTCTTCAAAAGCCGACACAGCTCTAATAGGAGCGGTCCTTGCAGAGGATGTTAAAGCCACTGAGGATGTCCCAGCATTCCGTGCCAGCATCGTTGACGGATATGCTGTCGTTGTCCCTCAGGATGGTAACATGAAAGGGGTTTTTCCGGTGACTGCTGTGTCTCACGCTGCCCCCGGTGAAGCTAAGGAACTTAAAGAAGGGCAGATAGCCAGGATCACAACGGGTGCCCCGCTACCGCCTGGCGCAACTTCTGTTATTATGGTTGAAGATACTGTTCTGAAATCCAAGACGGAAGATGACAAGGAAGAGAAAGAAGTTGAAATACTGGCAAATGATGTGAAAGCAGGCCAGAACGTGAGGGAAGTCGGCAGTGATGTCAAAGAAGGCTCGGTTATCCTTCAAAAAGGCGAGCAAGTGTCTGCTGTTGGCGGTGAAATTGGCCTCATGGCAGCCGTCGGTGTCTCCCAAGTGCAGGTATATCGGCGGCCTGTCGTTGGTGTCTTGTCAACTGGAGACGAAATAATCAACCATGATCGTCCTGGAGCGCTGCGCCTAGGAGAGGTGCGAGATACGAACCGGCCTACACTTATATCAGCAGCCAGAGACTGGGGTTACGAAGTCATCGATCTAGGAATCGCCAGCGACAAGCCTGGAACCTTGGAGGAGACGCTTCGGGATGGAATGCGACGGGCTGATCTAATCATCACCACGGGTGGAGTGTCCATGGGAGAGCTTGACCTCCTGAAGCCAACCATCGAGAGGTCGCTGGGCGGAATCATCCACTTCGGTCGGGTGAACATGAAACCAGGGAAACCAACGACGTTTGCAACAGTTCCTGGCAAGACTGATGGAGGGGAACGCGTGTCGAAGGTAATCTTCTCTCTACCAGGCAATCCTGCGTCTGCCCTGGTCACATTCCATCTCTTTGTCCTCCCATCTCTTCACGCGATGTCCGGAATATCGCCGTCGGGCCTCAGCAAGATTTCGGTGACGCTGGCCCATGACTTCAGTCTTGATCCAGCGCGGCCGGAATACCATCGAGCCATAGTGACTGCTGGGGGAGATGGCACATTGTCAGCCACCAGTACTGGAGGACAACGAAGCTCTCGCGTTGGCAGCCTCAAAGGAGCAAATGCCCTCCTGTGTATGCCAAAGGGGACAGGGCCCATGCAAAGGGGGACAAAGGTTGAAGCTCTCCTCATGAGCAATGTAAGGACTGGTTAATGAAGAAACTACGTTTGTGGGCGTGCTGGACCCAATTCACTTGAACGATAAGGTGTTTGAAGTGAAGTTCAGCTGGCATTGCATGCAAAATGCCACTGCCATTTCTTAATCACGCTGACCTTGATCTTTTCGCCCATGTCTCGCATTACTGTACCCCGCCATCTTCGCTCTGCAACTATTTCTGTTATATGATTTGGCTTGCTTGGTGCCATCAAAGCGGCGCCGTGTGCTGTCACGTCGTTTGTTTACACCCCAAGCCTGACACTCCCCTTTTCTGATCCCAATACAGACCAGCCCTGTGGTATCACAAACCCAATCCACTGGATGTCGACGTGTTCGAGGATCTCAAGATGTGCCATTTCAATTACAAGAAATTCGACTCCTGTGGGGACTATGGCATAGAGGTCCGTCATGTCTGTGACGAAGCTATCTGGCGAGCTGGTCTGCGAGGCGTACTGCAGATCTGCGTGCCCAGGATTCTCGAGAGGTCGCTCGAGTGGTCTGGACGAGATGATCACGAACCACCCAAGCCAGCCCTGTTCCTAGGCTATGATGGATTTTGTGAGATGTGTGTCACAAAGTTCAGGGTATGTTGTCCCAGCAAAGCCATGCCAGGTATCCTCCCTTCATACTTATTTAATCGTGTCGCAGCTGCCATGCTCTATACTGCAGAGAAGCTACTCAGATCATGAACTCGATTACTCCCGACCTGCCAGCTCTTTCGATCCTGACGACCTCGCACCTTATGTTTCCTTTGATGGCGTCACTGCAAAGGTTCCTGAACTCTTGGGCCTCTCCGATCAATTTGACGCTGCGCAGATGAGGCAAGGCCCATGCATGATCTTCCACAAGAGCTTGGAGCAGGGTACTTGGTCACAACTTCGCAACGCCTTGCCATTCACATACCGAGGAGAATTCCAGAGTGATTACACGCTGGACTTTGATGACACCATGAAGAGGTTGAACCTCAATGCAGGGATTACAGAGTATGACAGAGACCAGGTTGTCAATGCCTTGCAACATGGTCCTCACCCTCGTGTGGTTTACAAGTGAGTCCAGCTCATACCATTCCGAAAAGTAGCCATGACTGATAAATGCTCAAACCAATAGCAATCTTTTCAGGCCCCGTGGCATGCCTCTCGGCCATTTCAGCATGAGCATTGTCAACAGTTGTCAACAGACAGTGTCCAAAATTCAGGCTCAGAAGGCCACGGCTGTCAGGACGTCCCTCCAGCAATACGTGGAGTATTCTGATGACTCCACCTTGACCACTCTTACAAATACGCCAGTGTTGTCCGACGTGGAAATACCTGCGCCGAAGACGCCATCACAAGGCTCAGAGCTTTCAGATTCCCTAAAATATGACGGATCTACCTCGAATCCTCGCAGATCCAAGAAGCACCAAGTGTTGCAGACCACCAGGATAAAAAACCAAGCGACAGCCCTCAAACTTGCTCTATCGGCAGCTTCTCCGTCTCGGAGCACCAAGACACTTCCTGACCTGTCAACTAAGGCCAGCGCCTCGATCATCCAGAGACTGGCAACAGGAAGCTCGCCGTGTCAGATGAAGCAGAATGAGATGGCAGTGGCGCCATTTCAGGAATGTTCTGTCCCGGAGGAAGAAGGAGACTCAAAGGTACCAGCTCATGTAGCTGAAAACGAACAGCGAAGCAAGGCTGAGAGGCTGAAGAGACCAAGGCGCATGGCCATGGCGATACCTGAACAAGGATTCGATGAGTTGCGTCTGAGGCCCTTGGCCCAGGGCTCTGAAAGCAGCAACACCATGAAACCTGTTCTCAGAAATCTTGATCAGGGGCCCGAGTCTGAACCAAACTTCGAGCAACTGCAGCATCTGAAGGACCCGACGCAGGAATCTGGCAATGGGACGCCAGCTCCGGTCCCGTATTACAAAGCTGAACGCGTGTTCAAGTGGAAGACCTTGGAGAGGCCAGGATACGAAAGGACACCCAAGGCCTCGCGTCCTGCTACTGGGAGTCAAGAGCGGAAAGCCCAGGGTCGACGACAAGACTGCCAACGACCGCCGGTGATGGATGCCCACCAGGCTCAGGCGACCAAGCAGTCTCCTACACCACAGCGTCCTAGCGCAGTTCAGGGGCAACCCGCCCAGCCTCAGGAGGCTGTGCTCATCCCGGACGATTCTGACGGGGATGTGGAAATGAAGGAGGTTGAGCAGATCGAGGCGCCGATGAAGGAAATTCCGTGTGCGTGTTGCTTCGTCGCCACGCAAATCTGAGATCTCCGGAGCAGTGGTGATTAAGGGAGAAGTTCTGGCCTCTGGCTTTCGAATAGCCGTTATCATCGAACGGCAAGACGACCAAAGCACGGCTTGTGTCTCTTTCTTGTTTGATCGGTCCATCCTTTCAAGAAAACGCCCATACGTTTGCGATGTTAATGACTTGCATTTTCACATGGACTCACGACAGGAGGCTGTTCTTGCGGAAGGAAGAGCAGGTAATTCTTTGGAAAAGCTGGGAGGAAATAGATGAACTGGAGGAACGCTGCCACGTCTAGACATTGTCTGGGTTGGCATTTACAGAAACTGGCTTTTAGATTTTGACTTTGAAGATCGATGTCATAATAGGGGGTTTGCGCGAGTACTGTGAGTATTGACGGAGATGGTTGAGTCGATGGGACCTTGCCGCCCAACTCAGAGAATCCGTAAAGAAAGAACACAGATAGGATACGTATGTGGAACGCCTTGCCTCGGTTCTGATTCAGAGAAGATAGCTTGGCATGGCCTTTTCGATCAATAATACAGGCTTGTTCTAGATAAACCCAATGCCTCCATCCCTTCCATGCTGATTCCGAACGCCGTGGATGTGGTAATGTCGTAGATGATATGGCTGAAATTGTCGTCGTGGTTCGAGGTAATCTCGAGTATTTTGGTACATGGCTCTCTCCCGTAGTGCCCTTCTCTTCTTACACCTCGCCGAAGTCTGTTGCCTTGCTGGAGACAAGCAGGCCGATGATGAGACCGAAGAGGCCCAGAACCGAGCTGAAGATCTCGATGACCAGGATCTTCACGAAGAGCGTAGGGTCCGCAGCGTCAGCCAGAGCAGCACCGCTGCCGTTGATGCCCACCGCAACACCACAGACCAGATTGCAGACGCCCACGGTCAGACCTGACCAGAACAGAGCGAAGCCGGTGTAATATGTCTTGGCATCGTACAGCTCCTCGCCCTGGATGCCGTTCAGCTTGGCCGAGAAGACGATGGACATGATGACGCCGTAGATGGCGACGACCTCGCAGAAGATGATGGAGATCAGGTTCTTGGTTCGGATACGGGGGGCGCGAACACCGCCACCGACGATCGAGGATCCAGTAATGAAGATGCCCCTGGAAGGGAAGATAAGTGAGTGTCTTGGATCAGCTAAAGCTCCTGAGGGATATCCGTACCATGCTGCTCCGACTACCGACAGGCCGATGCACAGCGAGATGCCCAAGCTTGCCCAGGCTGTTGGGGACACGGATTCGAGGAAGGCGCCGACCTAGATGCGCGGTTGGGTCAGATTATCGTGCTTGTTGACTTGTGAGGAGGTGTTGGTGGATTGGATCGACGTACATTGAAGGCTTCGCCGCTGCCAGTGAAGAGCATGTCTAGGACCCGGTTAGCTGGAACTCCACGACGAGCTCGAGGGCTGGGCTCAGCCTGGACGTACAAGCTCCCACAATGGCCAGGGCGCCGGTGGCGCCACCGAGAGAGTAAGTCGTGCTCATCCTGGGTGATGATGGAGAGCTTTGTTGAAGGGCTGGTGGAAGAGGTTGGTTGTCTGTAGAGGGCAGCAGAGGTTACGCGGGCACAGCTCGACCAGCCAAGCTCCGAAGGGTCGTCCGTCATCAACATCGACCCGGTGTACAGAGATACATCCTTCGTCTCGTCACGTGGCTAGCCAATTGGCAGGCAACACCGCTGCGACCCACCTTTAGCCGGCGCCGGCCTTGTCATCCCGGCCCGTAGGCGCCCCCCTGGCCTTCTGCCCGGTTGCCTATTTATACCCAACTTGTCTCATTCATCGACGACGACACCCTCCGAAAGAAACTGACGGCACCGCAAGACAAGATGGCGTCCAGCGGGCAGCAATACTACGAGCTTTACCGCCGTAGCAGGTACATTGCGCTGCACCGCACTCTGCTATACCTACATCGCAGTGGCTAACAGACATGCGCCGCGCGCGCTGAGCAGCATCGGTGCCACTCTCACAGACACCCTCGACGACCTCATCACGGACACCCGCACCCCCAGCTGGCGATGAAGATCCTGGCCAACTTCGATCGTGCAATCGCGGACGTGCTGCAGGGAGAAGGTGAAGGCGCGGCTGACGTTCAAGGTAGGAACGACCTGTTGGCGAAGCGACCGACCCTTGACCTGCCTGGAGACCCTAAAGGGCCAGGGAGATAATGCGCAGTGGCAGTGGGAAAACAAGACTGACATAGAGGCACCTCCCCATTTACAGGGCTCGCTCGACACCTACCGATTTTGCGACGAGGTCTGGACTTTCCTGATCAAGAACGTCCAGTTCAAGATGGAGAACGGCGGACAGGCTGTGGTCGCTGATAAGGTCAAGATCGTCAGCTGCAACGCTAAGCGTCCAGGCGAGGGGCAGTAGGTGGTGTCGTTGCCACAACTCTCTGGTCGCATTAGAAGCTTGACGACGCCTGCAAGTCTCGATTATCATACGGAGTGCTAGGCAATCGTGCCATGATTGCGGAACGAGACCATTGCGCAGGGCTGTTGCGGAACTCGTTCATGGCTCTTTCCATCTTTTCCTTTCGGCGTTGGGTTCACGGTGGCACTCACAAGGCGTTTTGAGACAGGTTCACAAGGGATACAGGACTGCGATGAATTCGGGATCATGCTGTCCCGCAGACGCCTTTCAGATTGAAGAACAGGGTTGCTCGTCCAGGCTTTGGGCGTCCTCCATAATTATCTTGCCGATCCATGTGTGTTGCCAGTATTCCACTTGAGATATGTGACATGGAAATGCTTCCAATCAATGAAGCGACATGCGTCAGTCGTGCAAGTGTGTTCGTAATTGTGCTCATGGGCCATTCACTGAGGCTCTCAGTTTCCCAGGGTCTGCGGAAAAGGGGTCGCGCATTCCAGCACGGGCTTCTTTGTGCAAACCACCAGTCAACTTGATTGATCCCCATCCTGCCAGAGCAACCTGAAATACACGGACGAGATATAGAACAAAAATTCGCCAACTTCACATGAGCCACCCAGACACTGATACTCGTCTATCTCTCTCTGCTTCCATCCCTGCCAACCCGCAAAATGCTTCGTCAGCGCCGCCCAGCCGGGGAAGAGCCAGACCCCTGTTCTGGCACCGGCGACCTAGGTCATGCTGCTGCATCAGAACCTGGCGTCATTGAACAGAGGAAGGAACATTCGCTCGCGTCCCAACCAGGCGAGCAGCATCCTCTGCTCAAGACACACCCTGCACAAGCCTCAGGAGCCGACGGGATGAGCTGGGCCCAGAGGAACCACTGGATCGTATTGGCGGTCGCCAGTGGCGCATGCGCCTCTTTCAACGGCGTCTTCGCGAAGCTGTACGTTGTCCCCAACGTTGGACCTCCTCGAGGCTGTTTGTTTTAGGCTGGACTGGCTGGCTGACTACCGGATAGCACAACGGGCGACGCCACCGTAAGCTTTGCACAGGGCATCGCTGGGTTCTTCCATCTCGACTCCGTCGAGGGCTTTGTCGAGTACATTGTCCGCGCCGTAAGTTGTGCCAACTGAGCTTCATTCTGCGATCCTCTTCACACGCCTGGCTGGTCTATCCTGCTTCAGGTGGACAGTGGGATTATCAACTGTCAAAAGAGCACCAGGCTGACGGTGCATACCAGGTGTTCTTCGGGCTCAACTTGCTCTTCAACGGAGTGATGTGGGCCCTTTTCACAAAGGCGCTGGCTCGGGGCAACTCGACGACGCAAGTATCTATCATGAATACCTCGTCTAACTTCTTTATCACGGCTTTACTCGGCCTTGTCATCTTCTCGGAAGACTTGCCTCCTCTTTGGTGGGTCGGGGCCACGTTCCTGGTCGCTGGCAACGTCATCATCGGGAGCAAGGACGAGGGTGGGAAGACCGAAGGGGACGACAGCAGCCCTTCTGGTCAAGATGGTTCTCACAGGTACGAGGTTGTACCGGAAACTGTCAACGACGTGGGTTCTCATCTGAAGGACCATGAGGACGAGGACATCATCCAGCTGGGAGATCTGGATGATTGAATGGGAGTCTGCACACCATGTTGCAGACTGTAGAGAAGGGGTAGAGAGGTAGAGAGAGTTGCAGAGACTACCTGCAGCTATTCGACCTCCAATATCTTTCAACTTTTCAGTTGAGAATCCTCACATCTTCGTATAAGCTTCGTCGTAACCATTCAATAATCTTAGAATTTTCGTCGTCGAACGCTGAACTCGCTGAGCCCACAAGGTTCAATGCCGGCTTCCTCTACATGAACAATGTGTATCTAAATACCACTACAATGTGCCACAAGTTGATTCATTGCAGGAAAACGGCCGGCCAGGAAGGCTGCTGCATATTCACATGCAGAGACCTCCTTTTGGCGAGGCATCGACTGCTACCCACTGAAACTCGATATATTTCGGGATGCAACTAGAAATATACCGCAACACATGGTCTAGTGCAAAAGGTGATGGTATCACAGAGTGTAAGGTCAGGAGATGCCACAGCAGCATTCCGCTGTCGGTCGCAGGTCCCTAGCCAAGGTGCACACGGTTCCGGACGGGACGAAGAGAACGCCTGTGAGCCTGTGGCGAGACATTCAGACCGTCCAGGCCTCGCTTAGCCGAAGTCCCGGGCAGAGAGACGCCCTCGTCGGTCAGTGCCTTTCTCAGATCAGCAAGGGTAGCCGTCGAGGTCGATGCCGGTGCGTCGATCTCCTCAAAGCTATACAGCTGTTAGCAAATAGTCCCTTCCGCCAGGGTCCTGCCTGTGACGACTTACTAGTAGACACCATAGGGTCCCGGCTTTCCAGCAGCTTTGGCGGCCTCACCGCCTGTGGGAGGGTCAGTCAACTGGTCACAGAGATATGTAGGGGTGTTTGGTACTTACCGTTGAGCTCCTGGCGGCCTATGAGCTTGAATTTGCCCGCGATGCCCTGCACAAAATCTGTCTCTCGGTACTCAGAGTTGGCGACAGGAGCCACGTAACGTCCGGTCTTTGAATTTATCATGAGCAGATAGTCTTTTGTCGTGGTGAACATGCCGTCTCCGAGGTTAAGAGTGGTAGCCATGACCTTTCGGATCAGATCTCCGTCCTCGGTCCTACCACTGTTGACATTGACGACCAGGTCTTGGCTGGTATCAGCATCTGGACTGGGGCAAGGCTGAACAGTTCTGGAAAACTGGAAATCAGAAAATGAAAGACATACCTGAGACTTCATAAATTCCTGGAATTCCTTTGCTGATTGTGCCTGCTTCTAACTTATTCAGCATGGTGACCTGAATACTGTCAGTATATCCTACTCATTCGTAGAAGACAGGGTCTGAAGTAGTTGAATATATGCTTTTTTTTTGGTGGCATATGTAGAGGAGAAAGCAATTTCCAGTCTGTCTAGTGAGTTTCTTTGATGTTCACTTACAGTGGAAGCTTCCAAGTCTGTTGAGCGGATAACCAGACCAGTGGCAGCTGGCAGCTTTGTGATGGCGGGTTCGAAATCGGGCCAAATATAGTAGTGCTGGGCCCACGTCCTCAGGGCAGAAGTCTCCTGCGAACCAAGGCCGTACAGTTTTGTCGTCGCAGTCGAGATCTTGACCCAATCTGGCTGGTTCTTGTAAGCCTCCAAGAGGAGACCACCGATCTCATCGACATTGGCGGATACTGACTGGCCCTCTGCATACCACTTGGCGAAGCCCTCGCTCATGGTAGTGATGAGTTTTGTCTCCTCAGCCGTGATGCCCGCAGTGCTGGACAGTGCAGCGATCGTGCGCTCCGCCAGAGGGATGGCCTCAGCCGTTCCAATCTCAGTAGTCAGACCTTTCTGGTCGTTCCACACGCTCTCAGGAGCCTCGAGCGTCTGGGGGCTCAGAAAGCAGCACAGCTTCCTGAGGATTCCCCTTTGGCGACGGATCAACTTGGTGCCTCCACCCTCGACGCAGACCTTGCAATTTTCGAAGCCTGCCTCTTTCAGCATGCGAGATTTGATGTAGGTTGAGTCAGAGCTGCAAAGGGCAACTTACCGCCTTCCTCGATCGACTTCTCCATAGCAGCCACATCAGAGTCCGTGTATAGCAGCTTAGGCTTGCCGTCCCCGCCGTCACGGAATATCTGGACAGTGTTTTCTCCTTCCTTGGCTTCAAGCATGAGGCCTTTGCCTTCTCCAATCGTCGCTGTGGCCTTGCCAAACCTTGCCAGAACCTGATCAACGGCACCCACAACACGGGCTGCGCGGGCAACATCGACGACGACGCTCAGAAGTGAGACGACGTCCGCAAAGACGCTACCGGCCTTCTCGATGTCGTTGTCATAGCTGAGCTCGTGTATGCTCTGGCACTATGGTGAGCAGGCTGGTAGGAGCGAGGTGAGAAATAATGCTGACTTACATCAAAGGTCTTAAATGCAGTTCGGCATCCATCTCTTATTGTCTTACCAAGGCTGGCCTCAAACACCGATGTCAGGTGGCTCATCCCCATACACGTTACCTTGAGCTCCTCCATGTTCGGAGTGGCGAGGATCTTGAAAGCGCCAATGGCTTGGTTGATAATGTTCTTCATGACACCTAGGGGAAACACCAGATCAGTATTCTGATTACCTGTGCCGTAGTGGGAAGAGGTGGCCCGGATAGCGTTACCGCGACCGAATGCAGATACATTACTCACCCATCCAAAATTGATCTTCAAGAGGAATGTTCGACTCGGGATTTCCAAAAAGCGGATCGTTGGAGGTCTGTCGCTTTGATGAGGTGCTACCACTGCCGCCGCCGCCTACTCCGTCAACATATCTGTAACCTTTGGATTAGCTGACGAAGAATCACAGATCCGCCTGTCTCATGAGCAAGCATTGACAAACATAGGAGAAGGCTTAAATTGGGAAATGGATGATAATGTCCGGAAGTGCTCACTGTATCCCAGCGAACAGGCCTGATGCACAAGCGGCACCAGACGGATTAGCAACACATGGCCCTTGGCTAATCCTCCTGACACACACTTCCAGTGCATCCGAAGCGTTGAGTCCATTGCGGGCTTCGGGAAGATCAAGGCAGAAGGCTGACCATAGGTGAAGGATACACGTCTTGTTGGAAGGGTTCGCGTCGCAGCCACTGGGGATCGTCGCGAAGGCACGAGCAACGATGCAGTCCGCAGACCCCAGACTCTCGAGCATCGAACCGTTCCCCGAGACGGCGAAGTTGCACTGGGGAATGGCGACGTCGGATGTCGGGGGAGTGTTGCCGAAGGAAGACGCAGTCAGGTTGGTCACCTGGGCCGGCGCGAAGTACAGCGGCGTTTTGGTGGGCTGGACGACGAGCTTGCCGGAGTCGTCGGCATAGGTACAGAAGCCTGAGTTGGTGGAAGGCGAGAAAGTCAGAGGATCGCCCGAGGTGCCGGGCCTGTCGAGGGCATCTGAGGACGAGGTGAAGATTGCGAAGGGGGATCCTCCCTCAAGGGCCACCTGAGTCAACAAGATCAGTCATCAGGATTTGAGCTCAGTCTGATTAATGGCACAACCCACGTAGAATGTCTGGTTCTTGTCCAGGTTGCAGGCCCCAACCTTGAAGTTGAGCCATCAGAAGTATCCCAGCAGCCACCGCCGGTGCCAGCGGGCTCGGCGACCCGGATCGAGGTGGTATCGGTAAAAGGCGTCCCGAGTTTGTGAAGACCGTTGGTGATGTAGAATGTTGCTGCGAGATTGCCCGTGCCGCTACTGCCATCTTGACCAGACGAGGTCGCATCACTGCTTGCAAGGACTGGAGTGAATTGCATCGCATTACGCTGAGCGTCTTGGAGACTGGCAGCACAAGGCGTGGAGGTGTCCGCGCCAAAGAGTCTGATCTTTGTGCCTATGGTCTTGGGAATTACGGTCAGTTTTGTGTCACTGAGAAATAAACGCCTTTAGAGAAGATCGCTAACCCATTCGACTGTGTTGTCAGTCTGGCCAAAAACGACTGATGATGAGAGAACAACAGCAAGTTGAACACTCCCGAGGAGCGTCGGTAGTCTGACCATGATGAGAAATTAATAGCCTAGAGAATGTGTACAAATAAAGAGCGAAAAGAAAGATTCAAACGAGAGTGGTCAAAAGAATGAGCGGCCGTTGTTGACCTGGCGATGAAGCTTGAAGCCCATCGTGGCCGTACAGAGCGAAGGACGTTGCCTTTAATCACCAAAAGCCTCATCTAGACCAGCCATTTGCCAACTTATTGACTTGTCAGTCCTGGGCGAATTCACGACGCACAGACTGCAAGTTTCTTGGGTGAACATGACGATGGAAATTTCAACATCATGCGTGTACTTGAAAATAGGGCTTAGCGGTACGGACCCTGGGCTAAAAGCACGGTGCAGAGCCTTGGCTTCTCACCCAGCCTCTCGATGCCGGTGTTTCATGTCTCAGCCCTGTGAGCTACGTAGGCTAGATTTGGTGGTCTTTCTCTCTATCAGAGTTTGAGCTTCTGTCAGGTCAAGAGGAGACTAGCGTCGATAATTCAAGGGCCTCTGGATAGAGTTCGCGGTGCTCCCGTAGTGGTTTGTGCCGAGACAGCTAGATCGCTCCTGGGCGATCCACAGGTGAAAAAATGAGCTGATCGAAGAATTTGAGCGTTGGCAGCATTTTATGTATGCGCCAATGGTTCCTCCGGGGCCAAGCAGTGAACAGATACGGGTGTCGCGCCTTAAGGGTCGTAGGTCAAGTGTAGCCTGGTGAGCGGCTGTGCCCTCCCCAGGCTGGCTACAACTCGGTGATGGGCCCACACCATGATTGACGAAATTTTCTGGAAAGCACATGATTTCGGCTTACAGGCTAGCTATTCTAGACGGTCATGAGAGGTGATGTCACTTCCTTGAGTATTACAAAGATCACATCTCAGAAAAGTCATGATGAGACTGGTGCCTTGAGTCTCTAAAACCAACGATTGAGTAACGTATTGGTTTGGCAAATAGACAAGGGCTGTCAGTGCACGTCTCAGGACCAACACCTTTTACAAATAGGCATTGAATCCTAGTACATTCAATCAATCATCTCCTCGGAGCATTTATTCCGCGGGCGACGGCATGGTTTTGTCAGGTGACAGAAAGCAACATCGGACTAGAGATAGAAGAGGCAACTAATTGCTCTCGGTGTGAAGTAATCATTTACCAAGATAGCTCACTGTCGTGCTCGCATAAATACCAACCCTGTGTAGGTGCGCATTCAAAAGAGGTGAGAAGCGCCCTTTTCAAGGATAGGCCACCGTACAGCCTCTACAGCCGTGATACCCGGCTACCAGAGCTGTCCGTGAACGTTCTCATTCTCTTTACTGCAATGATATTCATGTTTAGGGCCACATCTTGTTGGCTGGTGTCTTGGGTAATAAGCTGCCAAGGCGAGGCTCAGCTGCTGTGGATGTCAAAAGCCCATCCTCTGGTATCCTGATCTCGTGTCGTTCCTGTCTCTTTGTTTGCCATTGGTTCTTCGAAGACTTTTTCGTACGGCGTCTTGCGGCGTATGGGACTTGGCCGTGTTGTTGGTCTGTTGTTGGAGTTCTGTTGACTGAAATTCTGAGGAGTTTTGAATCCTCTGGGATTTCATTGAACCAGAGTTTCAGCGCATGATGTCATTCACGCACAATTCCCAAACCTCCATCACCAGACCCAACATCACGGAGCGATTTTTCGCTTGTGCATACAGCCCGCTCAAGACTTGAAAAGAAGTATAAATATCTCCTCTCATATCAAGCTCGTTCTACTTCTTTCGTGCCCATCATGACAACCAGAAACCTCAATCAAACCTGGAGAGATGTCGTCTTCACCCAATACGCCGCCGACTACCAAGCCGACGTGCCATTCCCTGTCACCTACCTCATCAACGTTCCTGAGTGGAAGCAAGATATTCTCATAAAAATCCCTAAGAAGATCGATCTCAAGACACTTCGCAAATCCGTGCTCGACTTCTGCCGTGCCGCGCGAGGAGCTGATCCAGTTTACGACGGCGAACATATCTCTGTCCAACCACGAAAACCCGCATCTGCACTGCCCAAAGAAACGGACAGCCGCTCAGAGCAAGATGATGTCCCAACATAAGCTGGCACCAGCAGCACTGCTCCTGCTTGCAAAGGCTTGTAGCGCCTGGGACTTTGTCGTCTACCCCGATAGTGGCTGCAACACCAACCCCCCGTCAGGCCACGAAAGCGGAAGCGGAGCAAGAGACTGTACTGCGGTTCCTGCCAATCATCGAAGCTTCGAACTGACCAGTTTCGGGAACTACAGGCTGTACTTTTACAGCTCGCAGGATAATTGCGACAATGACGAGTGGGAGCAGTTCTACGATAATACCCAACAAGATACCTGCATTCCTCCTCAGTTCACCTGGGACTATTACGTTGTTTCAAGTTAGCTAGGGAGAGAATATGTAGCTACTATTTGGTACAAGTCCTGTGCGGTGTATTTCAAGTATCAATGTGACCTATATACTGCCATTACATCGAACTAAAGTGACTCATTGGTGATGTCTCGAGTTGATCTAGCTCGTTGACGATTGCAGGTTCGCCCTCCTCGTATTTTTCAGCGACTCGGTTCTCTTGTGGCCAGCGATTAAAAAGAAGTGAACAAATCCAACGTGAAAGCACAGCAGTTCCTTGGGAGTCTGGTTAGACTGTGGCAAACTCGTAGCAAGAAGCGTGAGGAGACTTGATGAGATGTGTTATTGAGCTCAACAGTGTCAACAATTCCTCTCATGATATTCTTGAATTACAAATAGCCGTCCGAGCGTGACTCGATTATGCGTAGAAGAATGACAACTTCACGTGGAAGGGTGACACCGGAAATCCCCTCACCTTATGCTCCAGCCCATGACGAACGCAGAACACCTCAATAGCAATCAGAATCGCAACATACCAATAAACCTCCCGTGTCATTCTGTCCAAAGCACTACGCTTGGACTTAGACACCCATTGCCGTCTCTCTTCACCTACTTAAACATTCAGACAAGGAAGCGTTTCAAACATACAATGTGACGTTAGCTCATTATTCGTTCAATACCGAATCTTGCAAGAAAGGGAATGGTCCAAGTGTCTAGCATATATTTTAATATCTTATAGTTCTGGCTCTTGTGACAGGTTTTCAAATTTCCTCAAGGAATACTACCCATTTATTGTGCCTCTGTCTCTGTTATAATGAGCAGAGAATGCCTGCGCGGCTTTGAACCTGAAGCAGAAGTTGCGCATGGCCGGCAGGTGGCTTTTGGCTTTTGGAAATGATGTTAGTGGAGCAACCAGCCCCTTTTCTCCTCGTTGCTCCTCTTTTCTTACGACTTACGCTCTACCCACTCTTCTGAGTCCTCAGAAGCGCAATTAGGAGAGCCTCTGTGGTGTACAAGGAGGGACAAGACCTGGCTGCGCTGAATTTTTTTTCTAGCAGATTGGTAGTAAATTCGTGCGCAAGTTGTTTAAGCAATAGTTGATCTTTAGTCTGCTTTTCTCCGTCCGATCTAGCTTCAGTGTTGAACTACCAAGTGGTATGATGTGAATGGCCAAGTCCCTGTCAATTTGTTCAAACTTGACTTGTGTGTTAATACGCCCAGGTTGAGTGAGCGCATTGTCTAGTTTCTCAACATAGTTCGTTGTCATAATGAGTGGTGCACCCTATTGGGATGCCACGCCGTCGATAGTGTTAAGCAGCCCTGATAGCGTCGCTTCTCGCGCGGAATATGTGGTGGTGTTAAAACTTATTAAGCGCAGCAAAATGTGCTTTACAACAAACAACAGATTACGGGGTATTCGGCAGACATGGACGGTTGATTGGTTTATTAGTGTTGCTTGGTGCAGTGTTCCGACTTGGAGTCGTAGGTCTTGGCAGGGCTTCTAGACCTGCAAACAAACCTTATTACCGGGCGTCTCCATTTACGTGCAGAGGGTGGCCCACTTGTGACGGTAGGTGATCACTCTAATAACAAACTCCGTGTCCGTGTCCGTGTCTATGCCATCCTTGAATCAACAACAGTAAAGCTGCAGCCTCCGCTGGCAGGGCATTCAATGCCTTGATCACGACCAGCGACAAAGTCCACCGCACTGTCGCTCTCGTGACTCGTTACTTGTTTGTTGTCTTGTTCGGTAGACTTCGTATGAAGATGTACTGTACACTAGATTGATATCCACTTTGATGACGCCTTTTGGGAACTGGGGTCTGTCGAAACGCGGGGCTGTTGATGCGTGAGGTGATGATCTCGTGCATAAACCCGTAAACAACACGAGGTGAGGCCATCCACTTCTGCCACTCCCGCAGGCGGACAAAGGCAGGACCGGGCTGGGCTGGTGGCTGGCCGGATAAAAGAGTGGGGGAAGGGGCGCCGAGGTGTGAGGATTACGCGGACTCGTCGCAAGTTTTGTCAGTTGCCGATTGCAGTCCAAACAACGGCACAGTGTGGGACGGGGCGTGCCCAGGTGCCTGCTCGGCTGGAGGCCCGCGGCTCACACTGTCCCTGCGATAGCTGGTTCGGCTGGTCTCAACCTGGGAAAGCTTGAATGCTGCTGGACCCGTCGTAACGGGATGTCAGGGCGGCGGCCACTGGCCGGTTGGCGTAGTTTGCCACTAAAAACATGCTGGTGGATTGGTCAATCGGCCCCTATTCTTAGATGGCACAGTCAGGATCTTCCCAGCCCACGGGGCCCCCAACCAGCGCGACAGTGCGACTGCAATTCCCTCAATCCAGGGCAGCTACCAAGTCAGTAGTCGACTACCTACACACCTTGCCCGTTGTCTCGTCTTCTTTCCTCCCTGATCCGTCCTCACCCAACTCTGGCAGGAACTCGACTCGGTCGATCCCCTCGCTATCGATAGACTTCCTCTTTAAGTCGACGCACTCTGCTTCGTTTCACTCGCTACCAGAAATAACATTTAACTTTTGGCTTTCTTTGTTGTGCATTACCTGTCGCCGCCCCCTGTTCTCCCTCCCCTTGATCTGCAGCCCCTCCGATCACCCGTTTCCTCATTTGGGACAGCGATCTTCCCTTCTCCGTTTCGTGACTGCCCCGGCGACGTCAGTCACCCTTTTCCCACGCTTTCATGAATCGTTCCTCATCTCACCTCACTGGATCGTGCGTGTCCTCACGAAGCGTCAACTTGTTTCCGCCGAACCTCATCGACCGCTGCCTCCCATCGAGCGACACTGGATAACCTACAGGACGGACCATCGATTGCATAGCATCTCGGCGAGGAGCGACCACGTCGCGCCGTCCCAATGGGCAAGAAATGTATTCTCGCCCACGAACCAAAATCCACCCGTGGCACCTGTTTGCTAACTTGTCCTCTGTTGCAGGGCGATATGGAATTGTCCTGGACGCTGGATCCTCGGGGACGCGGTTGCACATTTACAAGTGGAAAGATCCCGCAAAGGCCAGGAAAAAAGCCTCAAAAGAAGAACTAGGTAGCCTGCCGAAACTGCACACGGAGAAGAAATGGACCAAGAAGATACACCCAGGCGTGTCTACCTACGGCGAGAACCCAACCGCCGTCGGACCGGATCACCTCAAGGGCCTCGTCGACCACGCTCTCGATGTCATCCCGCAAGACCAGATCGATGACACTCCCATATTCCTGATGGCAACGGCCGGTATGCGACTGCTCCCCAAGGTTCAGCAGTCCGCCCTCACTCGCGAAATTTGCTCCTATCTCCGTGCCAACACCGAATTCTCGCTCCCGGATTGCGACCTGCACATCCAGGTCATCCCAGGTGAAACAGAAGGTTTATACGGCTGGATAGCGACGAATTACCTGCTCGGCGGCTTCGACCGCCCTCAAGACCACAACCACGGCAAGGGACACAACACCTACGGCTTCCTCGACATGGGTGGCGCCTCTGCACAAATTGCTTTCGCGCCAAATGCGACCGAGGCTGCGAAGCATGCCGACGATCTGAAGCTTCTGCGCATGAGGACATTGGATGGGGAACGGTCCGAGTATAAGGTCTTCACAGCCACTTGGCTAGGATTCGGCGTGAACCAGGCCCGGGAGAATTATGTTAAGAAGCTCGTGGACATGTATGACGCCGATGTCAAGGAACTTCCCGATCCATGCCTGCCCAAGGGGCTGCGAACCACAACGTCCGGGGAACCTGTGGATGCCGCCTCTTTGACCGGCCCGGTGTTATTGGGAACCGGAGACTTCACGAGTTGTTTGAAGCAGACATTTCCTCTGCTGGGAAAAGACGCACCGTGTGTGGACGAGCCGTGCTTGTTGAATGGCCAGCACGTTCCTGCCATCGACTTTGACGTCAATCACTTTGTCGGCGTGTCAGAGTATTGGCATACGACACACGGTGTCTTTGGAAAGGGCGACACTGCGTACGATCTCAAGACATACCAAAGCAAGGTGGAAGACTTCTGCACCACAGACTGGGATGCCATCGTGAATACGAAGATTGATGCGCGGAAGAAGGACCATTCCAAAAATGCCCAAGAGGCATGTTTCAAGGCGTCATGGCTGATCAACGTCCTGCACGACGGCATTGGCGTTCCGCGACTGGGTCTGGACCACACGCCCACCGTCAACGCGTCCCAAAGCGCGTTGGAGCAAGCCAAGGACAAGGGTTTCCTGGACCCCTTCCAGCCGGTGGACAAAATAGACGGCATCGAGGTTAGCTGGACTTTAGGGCCCATGGTCCTGTATGCTGCTGGGCAAATCCCCCCCAGGAGCACCGACTTCCTACCTGTCGGCTTCGGCGGCAACACGAACACCGTACCGGACGATTTCAACTACGCCGGCTCGAGCTTCAAGACGGGCAGTGATGACGACGACGATTGGGACGACGCGATCGAGGACCTGGTCGACCATGCCAAGCCGAGCAAATCATCCAGTTTCCTTCTTTTCATCTTGGTCTTGCTATTGATTGGCTACTTCTTCCGAAAGAGAGATCGCAGGATGCGCTTCCTCAACAAGTTTGGCGGATTTACTGGACGGTGGAGGAAGTCTGGCAGTCCCAAGAAGAACGCGCGGGGCCTGTCAGTCCTGACGAACAGGCTCTTTGGCAGGAGCTCTGCCCATTACGAACGTGTCATCGAGGAGGGCGAAGCGAGTCAGTTGAGCTGGGCGACATCGATTCGGACGAGAACGACCACTCCGACAGCAGCGAGGGCTCAAAGCTAGGCAGGACCTCTGGGCTGGCGACTCCCAAGCTGACTATGGATCGATTTGACTCGGGCTCAGCCCTTGACCGAGCAGGACTGGTTGTGCGGACCGAAAGCCGGGAGCGACTCGTACCGCCTAGCATGTTCAGCAACCCGGGCCGGCGAAGCAGGGCTGGCAGTCCTACCAGGCTCAAGAGCCCCTTGATGGCACCATTGCAAGAAGATTGATGTTTACGAAGCTTAGGAGATACCACTGTTTAGGGACTTGATGTACGGCATAACGGACAATTACCTTCAGACACTACATGATTTTAATACTTTTGGTGAGGGGCTAGAGGCATTCGTACCGGAGCAGGCGTTGAGGGCGAAGTTCATCCAGGATTTCATGTCAACGTCCTTGGAGTTGTTCACGACAGGCGGGAAAGTTTAGATACACCCCATGTGCCGCAGATGTCGGAGTCTGATAGCATTCACCCTGCTATTATCACCACATTCAGCCTATGTTGTTCGCACTACAGTGTTTGCACCATACCTACAGGATATTCTCGCTGGTAGTCTATTCTATTTGGCACATGATCGCCGCCGTAATCTCATTCCGGCTGTATCTACCGTGACTAGCTCCACCCGTCTTCTCCATGGCATTCTCACGCCATCGCTTAATGCGGCGGCAGCAGCGTTGGTAATACTTGAAAAACCGAGCCAGCAAGTAACAGCACCCGAGGGATTTTGAGGCCGCCTCTTGCCCGACGACCTCCCCTGTTGGAAGGCCAGACGATGACGCCCAGCCTCGTCCTGAACGTGTGTCTTGCTGGTCTTACACCCCCGCGCCCCCTCAATCTATCCCTTAGATAAGAAAACCCACCTTATTGCAACGACCACCAACGACAACAACGACAGCCTTACCTTCCTGGCTGACCACCTGGGATCTCCTCAAATCTTACATCTAACATCTGACATCTGATATCGCAGCAGGCATCACAGGTTCGTCACGGGGGCCGTTGGCTCGCCCAGTTCCGTCTTACTGCATCGACGGATTCCGAACAGCCTGCCTGCCTGCCTGCCTGCCGGTCTCTGACTCAGCCGGACCGTAGATCAAGTCTCCAGAACTCATTTTCTTTCCCCTCAAATAACAGATTGTACGAAATGTCTCACCGAGCAAACGTAGCGAGAGAAGCAGGCAGGCAGGCAGGCAGCGACGAGTTGCCGGCCGGGCGTGTGCTTTTTTCACATGCGAGGCGAGAAATGTCGGATCGGTCGAGGACCAGAGAGGGCCACGTCTTCGCCCGCCTGCCCCCTCGCTCGCTTGCTCTTTATTCACCCACGCACACTCTATCTGCACCGGTGGGCGGGCGGCTCAGTCGTCCCTCTCGAGGAAGCCGGGGTCGCTCCGCACCCTGCTCTCGAACTTCCTCCACCAATCCTCGAAGGCCTTCATAGGCACAACTTCGACCTGACCGGCCTGGCCGGAGAAGCTGGACAGGAAGTTGAAGGCGTTCTTGATGATCCTCTGCGCGAGAACAAGCGTGCTGGGCTGTTGGGCCTGGGCCTGGCCGGCGGCGACACCGGCGGGGACCAGGGCGAGCGACCCGGGCGCTCCAGCTGTCGACTTGGCGGCCTGCAGCTCAGTGATGCGGCTCGCTACTGAGCCTGCGTCCTCGATGCTGATCCCCAATATGATCTGGCCGCCCGAGGAGGCAGACAGCGACGACTCGTTGAGCTTGAAGATGGCGGACTCCTTGCCGGGGCCGACGCCGCCCAGGAACTTGGAGTTGGGCACCTCCTGGCCCTGCGCGCGGTCGGGCGGGGTAACCAGGTAGATTGCCGCGGCGGTGTTGCTGGGCAGGACGACGCCCGGCAAGAGAAAGATGACGACGTGGCTGAAGGACTTTGGCGAGGTCGATATGCTGTAGATGAAGGATGTCTGTGAAGGGGTCTCGGTCGGCTGAGTAATGACAGGCAGGCCTGCCGGGACGAGGCCGAATAGTGGTTGCGACATGGTTGTGCGCGTGAGCTGAATTCGCTGACCGACCCGGTAGGTCTTAAGGGGATGGCCTATTGTGAAGCTTCTCCTCCTTCCTCCCTTGGGATGTGGTGTACGTGTGTGCGTGCTTGTGTGCGTGCGCGTGCGCGTGCGTATGCTTCTTCGAACGTGCAGTGTGATAAATCGACTACAGGTAGGCGAGCCAAGCTGTGGCTTAGGTGCTGCTCAGCTTCAGTGTGGCACCCAATTGAGGTGATGCTTGACGTCGGTGAGGATGGCGTTGAAACCTTGTTGCAGGCTCAGCGGACGTTATGCAGCGGCGGATGCAACGGTTGGAGATGCTCGTCGTGCGTCCGGAGCTTGAATTATGGCCCTTGGGCATGTGCTCTTGCAGCGTCTGTGCCTGTGAATATGCGACCTTGAGAGCGAGCGCTGCTGCTGTGCGAGAGAGCCAGGCAATCAATCGGTCTTCCAGGACTGCGGGTGAAGATCCTCGAGACGATCAACTCTTGCAACACCCCGGTCGCAGACTTGAGGATGTCGATTGCATGCAAGTATGTATGCTTGTGAGAGCTGAGATTATACCACGATCAGATATGCGACCTCGCTGTGTTATACAAATGTGAGCTTTTGAGTGCGAGTATGCGAGTGAGTGTGAGTTGTGAACATGCGGCACCACCCACGGCGGGCCATGCAGTACAGTGACTCTTGATGGAGGGGTGGGTGGGGAAGCTGTGCGAGCGCTAGACCCCTTCTAGAACACGCGAGAAGACGCCCGGGGCCCGCCATCCCAGACCAATGGAACCGAACTCTGGGTCCTGGGTGCTGATCACAACGGCCAGCCAACGGCAGCCACCAACGGTCAAACGGCCAGAGGCTGCCAGACCTGCTGCCCCGGCTGAAGTAGCAATCGATGTGGCTATTTCCAGCCAGGGGCAGCGTCGCACGCTTTCTGCAGACGCACACGACAGACAGTCCGTCGATGCCTTCCTTCATCGTGCTTGGCCTGCCTCACACCGGACGCTTGGTCACGCAACGGCAGCCTGCCCCGGCCCTCTCGGACGGAGCAACCCGCAGCAGGTGGTAGCGAGAAGGCTGTGGCACGCACATTTTGCAAGGACAACAGGTGTCATGGCAGGACTCGACGCTTGTCGAGGCACTCGTAGGCGCACAAGATAATGCAGGCTCAACCGCCTTCGGCTGGGCCTGCACACACCCGCCACGCTTGCCTCTGCACGGCACAATGTGAGCGGCCCAGGCTGGATGGGACATGACCCGCGGGGCGACAATGGCCAACTGCATGTCTGTCCTTCCCACCCTCACCACCGCGCTCGTCCCTCCCACCGCGCCTGGGCTCTCATCATGTCCACTGAGCCGGCACCCTGATGATCAGAGATGGGCAGGATCCGTACGTGATCAGGGTCGAGGGGCAGGGAGCCGGGGTGGGAGAGCTGATTCTTGTGCTGCTGCCGTTGCCGAGGCCGTTCTGTTGCCGCCGTCACACCCAGCAATACCATCACACCATGCACGCAGCAAGGCTCGCTTACTCGCGAGCCACCATCCCGTATTGCCAGCCGCTCGAGCTGGATACGATTTCAGATGAAGCGCAGGGCCGGGCCTCGACGACGCGCGGGCACCCCTCTTGTCAAAAAATTGTTGATGGTTCCCTCCCCGGGCAGCGTGTGTGTAACTAACGGTGAGAGGGCCGACTCAGCAGCAAGCATCGGAGGCTCAGCGTTCCGGCCGGTTCTCGCTCGCCAGAGGTGACCCTTGCTCAAACCCACCCTCGGGACCGCCCAGGGACCAGGGCCCCAGGGCCCCAGGCTGCCTAGCTGGGCTGCGTGGGCTCTCTCTCACCTCGGATCCTGGCACCCACATGGCAGGACCACAGAGCACAACACACAGTCACTGACCAGGACAGGTCAGGGCCGCAAAGCACCACACACCCCGGACAGCCTGATAGATCCCTACATAGTGCCGGCTCCGTTGTGGGTTGGACCGGCAGCACCAAGAAACCACCTGATCTGCTAGCCCGGGCAAATCACCTGGCAGCACCGCAGTCCGATGGGCGGGAGAGGGTTGGTCGGTCCTTTGCCCCATGAACATGCGGCCCCTTAATCTGACAGGGCCCTTCTCCCGTCCACGGGCAGTCTGGGAGGCACCTGGTGAGGCATATCTACTGTGGTTGAGAGGGACCGCCCGTGCCGGGAGATTATGTGAGGCTCGTCTTCTTCCCTCGTTCCCTCTGGCCGCTCCGCCTTGGCCTGCTATAAAGATTATGCCCCTTCCTGACTAGCCCGTCGTTGCCTCCCCCTCCTCCAGTCTTTTCTCGTCTGACACGTACGCGTGAATGCCTCGCTCACCACCATAAATCTGAATGCAGCCCGGGCCCGACCCAGACCAAGTCGAAAATATACCACCGTTCCAGCGGTAGACGCAGCAGCAGCAGTGGCAGCCATGGCACCAAGGCTCACGAGCAAGGAGCTGTTGGACAGATGTGACGGGTAAGTCACACTCTCCGCTTGGGCGCACACCCATCTGGTCCGAGACATATATGCACTCTTGCCTCGTCCCGTCCTCGGCTCGTCCTCGGGCGGGAGACAGCAGGCAGCATGTGGCAGGCCGGCCTCCGATCTTTGGTGCAACATCGGAAGCAAGCAGCCGCCGGGGTTCGCCTGGTATGCCTCTGTTTCAAGACCGCGTGGCGGAATTGTTCCTAGTCGATCGCATCAGTAGTGTTGTGCGCTAAGGATACTGACCGCTCTTGCAGCTTTCCGTACATGAACAGCCACCCGGAGAGATATGCGAGGCAAATGGACAAGCTTTACACCCTTGTCTGGCAGGACAGCGAGGGTGTCTTTCCCATTGGCTACATGCTCAAAAGCGTTTTTGACGAGCTCAAGCTGGTGCCCCCTGCAATCCGGGGCGATATGATTTTCGACCCTTTCTCAAGGACAGTCAAAATGTTCCATAAGCCCGCCACTGAGAGGAAGCGCACGGAGCTCGCCGCGGCCACGACACGCTATCTGCGCCTCAACCAAACTTTCAAAATCTTGAAAGGCTGGAGGGGTGAGCTGTGGCCGGTATACGGCCGCAATGGGGAGCTTCTTTTCAGCATGGAACGAGCTGCGGTTGCTCTCTTTGGGTATATGCGATACGGGGTGCATCTGATTGCATACGTCCACTCTCCAACAGCGCCCTACGGCATCAAGATCTGGGTACCAAAACGCAGCCAGGCCAAGAGCTCATGGCCCGGGATGTTTGACAGCACTGTGGCGGGTGGTCTCACAACAAACGAGGACCCTTTCGAGTGCGTCATTCGCGAGGCTGATGAAGAGGCAAGCCTGCCCGAGCAAATAGTGCGTGAGCGCGCGAGCTTGGCAGGGCTGGTCAAGTATATTTATGTGAACGACACACGAGTTGGAGGCGGGGAGGGGTACGTTTATCCCGAGTGCCAATGGGTATATGATCTTGAGCTACCTGATGATATTATCCCTGAGCCGAATGACGGCGAGGTCGAGTCTTTCATGCTCTGCACTGTTGCTGAAGTGAGAGAGCAGCTGGCAGCGGGCAGGTGGAAGCCGAACTGCGCTGTCATCATGCTGGATTTCTTCGTTCGCATGGGCATATTGACCCGTGAGAATGAGCCCCAATTCGACAACATCGACGCGCGACTGCGTAGGCAGTTGCCGTTTCCAGGGCCGCACGATGATGAAGAATAGCACGGACTGACATGCTGGGCATCGGGTTTGAACCAAGTACAGCGCCCCATGACTAGACGAGGAGTGAGTGGGCCGGCCGAGGGAAGTCGACTATAGACGAGTCCATGTCGCCTTGTGCCACCTTGGTGGCTTGAGCAAGGGCGGTGAATTATATCCTTATCGGGGCGTTGGGCCATCGGTTGCGAGTTTTGGGATTTCGGGGACGAATGCTGTTGGTCAGATAGACTCCTCTGCGGCAACTTTTACTAGAATCAATACCCAATTTCTGCATCGGCGGCATCCTCTGACGTGGCAAGACACAATCCCCCCTTTACTTCCTAACGAGGAGGTAGACGTTGTCCACGCGCAGAGGTGTGAGCTTGCTGTCAGGTCCCTCCAAAGCCATGAGAAGCCCGCCGAATGAGACGTAGGCTTTCCTGCATTCGCGCCTAGTCAGTCGTGTCTCTTTGCTGCCTGCAGCCCGTGGGGTACATACAGAGTCTTGTCTGCTTTTCCGTCCTCAAACTTGTAGACCTTGCCGTAGCAGACATAGTTGTACCCGTCGGCGAGCGTCTGCGCCCCAGGCTTCGCAACGTCACGCCATGTCTTCTCGTCATCCCTTGAGCCGTCAAGATTCAGTGTCGTGGCCAGTGCAACTTCGATATTCTCGGTTGCAGTGAGAGGGAAGAGTTCAGTGTTGATGTCAAGTTCCAGGCTGGTGGCGCGGTCGAGGGAGCTGGCCGTGATGCGGGCTGCTCGGTCGTACTTCTTGTGGTCGACGTTGGTTATCTCGAACTGCTCCTCAAAGAGAAGCGCGTCGCTGGTAGGCTCGGCCATTTTGACGATTGCGTGGGACTGTGACGGGATGGATCAGAGCGAGCGGCAAGTGGAGGAAGACGGATGCCCAGGCGGCTTATGTTGTGTGTTGAGGATTGAAGATGGCAGAAACGCAGGGCAACCAAAATTTTGGGAGCATTCCCAGTTGCGCTGATGTCTGTCGGCCGCAGTGCAGCGGTCAGATGCGGCGATGCGGCAAGCGTGAAGAGCTTTCAAGAATGGAAGGCGGTGACGGGTGCTGGTCGCCAGTGGTGGTAGGAGCTATTAGGTACTTGGGTACCTAGGTACCTGGTATACAAGGCTCTGAATATTGTGGAGGGGTAGCTTTCTGCTACAAAAATCATAAAACCGAACTGACAGGGAAAAGCAGGAGAAGACATCGAGAGAGTTACATGACAAATCAGCCCAGGCACTCTTATGCTAGGCGATCCGAAATGTCCTTCCGCAAGAGAAATTCAGTAATATCTGCATCTCCCTCGTCGCAAGCTGCTGCCCAGAACCGCTCCGGAACCCAGCTTGCGCCTGGCTTGCGCCCATCTCCTCTGGACGGTCGCATTACAACTTCCACAGGAACCGCTTCTCTAGACGGCATCCTCGCAGGCCACGCCGGTCTGCCACTTGGTTCATCTCTGCTCATAGAGGAGCAAGGCACAACTGACTTCTCTGGGAACCTGCTCAAGTACTATGCTGCCGAGGGTCTGGTCCAGGGCCACCAAGTCCACGTGCTGGGTTTTCCCGAAGCCTGGAAGCATGAACTGCCCGCTGTGTCCACCAAGCAAGAAGGCACCCCTGCAAAGGCGACAGGCCAGGCGGATGACAAGATGAAGATTGCCTGGAGGTATGAGAGCCTCGCAAGCAGGAATGCCCCCAGCACTGCTGCAAATGGTAGGTCGAAGATTCAATCATGTGCCTTTCTCACATAAGACATGAGAGCAGCTGTCTAATTTTTGCTTGTAGATGTAGACAGTTCCAAGGCTGTGTTCTGTCATGCCTTCGATTTGACCAAAAGACTGGCCTCGGCTTCCATCCAAGGCACGCTATCAGCAACTCCGGCTCCCAATCGCCAGAGTCTCTCGTTCGAGCCCAAGGAGCAGCCATCACCTTTCAAAGTGTTCATCAAGAACTTGCAAGGCAAGCTCCAGAGTTCCCCGTCGTCGACAATTCACCGCGCTGTCATACCCAGCCTCCTGTCGCCCACGCTCTACTCTCCCGCTGCCTGCCAGCCTGCTGAGATGCTTCAATTCCTTCACGCCTTGAGGGCACTCCTGCGCCAGTATTGTGGCAAACTGACTGCCCTCATCACCTTACCAGTTACGCTGTTTCCCCGGAGCAACGGCGTGACGCGTTGGGTGGAACTGCTGTCTGACGGAGTGCTCGAACTGATACCGCTGCCACCTAGGCTTGGTGCTGCTCCACCATCATCCAAGAGTGAATCAAAGGTCCAAGAGCAGAGTCAGGGCATACTCAGGGTGCACAGCTTGCCCATTTTCCATGAAAAAGGTGGCGGTGGTGCTGAAAACCACGACTTCCGCGAGGACCTTTCGTTCCACCTGAGTGGCACCAAAGGCCTTGTCATCCAGCCGTATGTCCTTCCACCCATGGAAGACGAGCATCACAAGGAAAAGTCACCAGCAAGCACCGTCAAAGACGGCATCGACTTCTGATCCAAGTGGGTTTAATGCTGCGGAAGGTTAGCCTTCGCCTAACCCTAGGAATCCGACCTTCCACCCCCCTAACAATTGCGACTTTTTTGAGGTTCACACCGCCTGCGTGCTCCAACTTTCTGCCAGTCTTGATCATAAAAACGGCAGATTTTGGCAAAACTTCTACTCAACACACATCACAACTCAACAGCACAGGTATGTTAAGAACTTTCCCACTTGTCAGATCACCCTTTCTATGCAAGTTGAATGATTAGATCAACATTTTAATCTGTCAATCCCCTGAGATTTTCAATGCTGATAACACTTGTGTGTCAACAACTTATGACTCTTGTCTCCCAGCACTTTCAGTTATGCAGCCTCTTGAGATGAGCCGAGCTAACATTTGTGCGATAGGATCACTGGCGTTGATCACGAGTACCCAAGATGACAGAGCTCGTACGCATCACCAAAGTAGGTGGTCGGTACCTCGTCTTCGAGGTCAAAGATGTCGCCTCTCTGCGACGCGACCACTGCATCTGTGCCGTCTTGGTCGGCACCACACCGCAGAACCCAACCCAAAACCTCTTCTCGGGACTGCCGTTAGAACTTCTTCCTGAGGAAGCGAAACTTCTAGTGGACAAAGGTGTCGCCCATGTCGTGGACGAGGCCACATCCCACCTGACTCACCTGACATCCATGGATCCCACCGCCAAGCATGCTTACCTACAATCTTTGAGGACTCGGCGGCAAAATATTTCGCGGGTTCTTGACGAAGAGGACGCCATCAGGAAGGCCGAAGGCGCCAAGATGAGAGGAAAACAGAAATCTAAGCGGATTCCCGCCCGGGCTGATACCCCACCAGTCGTCGAGGAAGTTCAGTTGCCACTGTCCCCTCCACCGGAGAAGCAAGATGAGGCTTCAGTGCTACCTGCCGCAACGGCAGATCGTGAGGAGTCGCTCTTCTCATTCCCCCCTCAGCAGAGGAAAGGGGGGACCACTCCCTCGTCTACCACTATAGTTGCAACCAACCGTCATCTGACGGCAACTACCAGTGCTGACATGTTGTCAGACCCCAAAGCTTGCAGCGTGCCTGTCGAGGCGCCTCGTTCTTACCCTTTCTACAAGCATCTCAACTCAAAAGGCTACTACATCACTCCAGGCATCCGCTTTGGCGCTGATTACAGTGTCTACCCCGGCGATCCCTTCAGGTACCACGCGCATTTCATGGCGACGAGCTTTGGATGGGACGAAGAAATCACTCTGCTGGACCTAGTTAGCGGTGGCCGTCTGGGCACGGGTGTTAAGAAGGGGTTCTTGATAGGTGGTCAAGCCCCACCAGAAGAGGCAGCAGGAAACCCGCAGGATACCGGTGAAGACCGGGTGAGGACGTTCACACTAGAGTGGGCTGCCATGTAGAACTGCACCTCGGAACCAGGCTGGCTCGTGGGTTACGATGCCCGTTAGGATACAACTTTGCATAGCGAAGAAATGAGCATGGATACCTCCTGTTCTAGTTGTATATGCCCTGCGTCCGTCGGACGCTTGATGAGTGAACCCTGTACATGAAAGTGTTCAAGAGAGACTGTCTGTCCACAATACACAAATGAGAAAGCAGAAGTCAGAACGCCAGTTACGCCAAACGTGCCCCTTGCCCGTCCTCGCTTATGTGCCCAGTAGGGGAATAGACCGTACCTGTCCTCCAACGCCTTCCGATCAAGGCACATAGATGCGGCTGAAGCTGATGACCTCGCGGCGGCAACAGACGCACTTATCGAAGTTGTTCATCGCGAGCGCCACCCTGCAGTCGTCACACAGACTCAGACACCGGCACGGCCATACGATGATGGTCCGTGGCGAGCTGTGGCACACCACGCACTGAGGGCCATCAGGCCCCATACCCGACGCGCCCGTAGCCCATGAGCCCGCCGCGCTGGCGCCGGCGGCCCCATCGTCGGGAGCCGTCGCGGCTCGGCGTTCAAGTAAGATCTGCTCCAGCACCTCCGCTTCCTCTTCGGCTGTCATCTTCTTGATCGTGTGCGCGTGCTGGCCCGGGAAGATCACGCGCGAACGCTGAGCTTGTTCGAGCCGTTGGAAGGCCGAGCGTGTCAAGATTCGGTCCGAGCCGAGGTGTGCGGCGAGCGCGCGTGCTTGGTTTCGCTCTTCTGAATTGCGGGGATGGAGAAGGGATGCGAGGTCAGACGGTTGTATGGGATTGTCAAAGACTGGTGTACTCTCCCTGGACGTGAATGGTGATCGCTGTGTAGGCGTACGTTGGCCATCGTCATCCTCCCAGGCGTCGTCGTTGTCATCGCTGGTTGAGGCTTCAGATTCGGCTGTCGTGATTACACTGGTGGCATCCCAGTCCGAGTCTTCCTCTTCTGCTGTTGGCCTATACTCGCCGCTCCTGTCTTTCGTTCCCCACCAGCCTCCGTACAGCCACCATAGGTAGAGTCTGTTGTCCATCCAGCGTTCACGTGCGCTTTCATCAGGCCAGGCCCCTTTGTCATTATATGTTTGACGAAGCTCTTGCTCCACATCGACTGTGTCAGCACGATGAATCTCTGTGAGGCCGATGGAACCCTCTCCTGCTATGATCGCCTCGTACGGCCTGCTGCTCCTTGAATGCTTTTCCTCCGGCCGGCCAGATTTCGGAAGCCTCGACCAATTCTTCAGCCAATTTGGCGGGTTCTGAACGCCGACACTAGCAAGCACTTTGCATACTGCCATCGCCCAAGCCGTGAGAACCAGTTTGTTGATGTGCATCAGGTAGTCCAAAGCTAGTAGCCAGCGGCCGCTGCGCTCTGCCGCCCCAACTCCGTCTCGCATGCTGCGGCGCTCGCCAGCCCGGGATTTCGATAGTTTCTGCGCGGCTCTCTCACGAGCATAACCACTTGTAGCCCTGAGCTGCCCGTCTTTGACGGGAACCAGGCCGATGACACCCGTTGAGTCATATCGCGATCCTGGAATACCAGAGCTGATCCAGTTCATTTTCAGTTCTTCGATCTCTCGGTATCGCTCATCCTCGAGCCATGTCGTACGCTTGAGGCCCACTTGCCTGTCTTCATTGAGGTAGACAGCTTCAGAAGCCATAGTGATGGCACCGAACCCAGTTCGGAGCAGTGCGGTGTAGAAGTCCATTTCCATTGTGATCCGCAAGTCCGAGAACGAAAGATTCGCCTGCATGTTGGCGTGCGCGAGTGCAAGTCGTTGCTTGAACGTCAGAGGCTGCTCCGAGTCTGCATCTGCAGGTGTTGCCAGGGCAGACAACACAAGAGCCACGGAATAGATTGTAAAACAGATGATGATGCCAATCAAGACCAGCACATGTGGTATGAAGCCGATAATGCACACAGTGGGATATCTGAGGAGTCCTTGCCGGGCGGGATCTTCCAAGGAGAACGTAATGGCGCTCCAGACAATGCTGCCCATGAAGCACGACGCCCAGAGCCCTGTGCTGATCAGACGGAATCTCGCCTGCTTGCCAAAGACTCCGAGGATATGGCTAGTGATATGGCTCATCGCCGAGAAGAAAGCAATAAGCAGGACCTCGGGAGGAGTGTTGACCCTTTTCATGATCATCGATCGGCTTATGGCGATGTTTGCACCAGCACTCGGTTTGACAGTGGCATTTGCGGCCCCAGAACTGAACAGACCCCAGCCGAGCTGATTGCTAATCGCAGCGTCGGCCTCGGCAAATGCCAGGGAATGCTCGAAGAGCGTCATACCCGTCTCAGCGGACACCGGCCGTCCCTGAACGGCACACGATATCGTCTCGAGGACCTGGCTGAGACAGAAGGTGCCGAAGAGCGGCCACAGCAGAGACAACGAGCCCTTGAGCTCCGGTGACTCCTCGTAACCCGATGGTATCATCTGCACAGCCAAGCAGGACTCCTCATCCGTGGCACCTAACAGTAGCGTGGAGCTCACCCCATGCAGCAATGTGTTCTGTTGCGAGAACATGAGGTCCGAACTCTTGCTTGCGTTTCCCCACCGCAGCTCAGAGAAGTCAGCCGAGGTCTGACATTGTATGGACTGCAGTATGCTCCGGGCTTGTATGAAGAACAGGACGATAGGCGCGATCCGTAGCACTAGGCGGGTGTGCCACTTTAGTCGTAAACGCCGTCGAGTTGCGGCAAAGATGTGTGTTCTGTTAAGAACAACTGCCATCGCGATACAGCACAGCGCCCACTTGCTGGTGGCGTAGCTGAACACGCTACCTAGGCCCTTTGCGCCCTCCATCGAGAACCGGTATACCGAAGTGGTGGGGTCTAGGTCGGCGAGGTTCGATGGTGCAGCGGATGCGATGCTGGGCCCGGTGGAAACGACACTGGCGGAGCCGGGGGGAGTCGTGGAGGAGAATATGTCGGAGCCCGTGGCGTCAGGAACGAGCCGTTGACCGAAGCCGTCTATGGCATCGGGGAAGGAAATGTAAGAGCCGAGCTTTCCGAGCTTCATGACCATCCGAGGGCCGGCTAGGACGAGATCCTCCAGGGACGGGGCGTATCTGGAAACGTTGAACGATGTCCAGGCGGTCAAGTTGTGCCACATACTCGCGTTATCGAACGTGGCAGCCGGCTGGTGGTGGGTGAGTGCTTCCACCGTGTGCTCCATCTTGGGCTGATCTGTCGAGATCCTCAACCCCCGAGGTGCCCTGGCTCTTGATGACAGCCCGCTCGGGGCCGCGGCCGCTTCGGAGGGCACGTGTGACGTGAGGTCAGGCCGGATGCTCGAGTTCGGGTCGAATCTCTGGGGACTAGAGTAGTGTGTTAGGGGAGAAAAGGGACAATCAAGTTACGTTATGGTAGCCAGACAACGGATACATGATGCGAAACGGCTCACGGCACCCTGTCTGGCAAGCGTGATGCTGATCGCATGCAAGGCGCAGGACGGGAGAGAGGGTGCTGTATGTACAGCAGATGGCTGGCTGGCGGGATGATGGTGCAGTGCGCGATCCGTGTGGGGCAGGCGGGCACCATCCAAGGCCGACAAGTCCAACGTTTACAGGGGTAGCTTACAGGGGTAGCTGCTGTTACTGCTCGATTGGTCCGTTGATCCCTTGGGCGTCGGCCCCTTTTCGTTGTTGAATTCACACTGCACGGCTTGACTGTTTTTATTTACCAGCAGACCACACCGAGACCACACCGAGCCCACCTATTCATTTGCGGCCTTCATAAACAGGACCAGTCTCAGCTTGAATCTGCTGTTCCCTGAAGTTTGTGGCCAGACTCAGAGTGACACAGCTCACCCTGGGCAGCTCGAGCAGGTATTTACGTGTTTGGATACTTGATATCCTCGTCACACCTCTGCTCCTCGCAACTCTGCCACATGGTTCATTTGTTCGTTCCCCTCTCCTCACTTCCCTATTTTACCATTTCGGTTCTACTAAAATTCAGACCCCCAGCAAAACCTGAGCAGTATGTAGTCTTTCACTGCTGGGTGATCACTATGACGCTTTGGACGGTGATACCAGCAGCCAAAGCTGTGTCTCTGATGCCTGAACACAGCCTGATAGTGCGCCTCTTTGGGGCGTTTCTGTGCCTCGGGGTAGCCTCGAGGTTCATTGCTAGCCTTTCGATGGACTCCTCTATGAGTTGCCCCCGGCCCTTTTCCCCGAAAACCGACTCCCATCTTCAACCTGCTGGCGGACCTGCCTATCCCTCGGGCGTTGTTCTGTGTCTGATAATTCAGCTATTCTGAGCTGCGGCGTCTTTCAGACAGCTGACCAGGACACGGTTAGCGCTTTGAGAGGCGAGAATGCCTTTTTCGACCATTCCTGTGTAGAGTGTGGTATCTGCTGCAGGCAAATCCCCCTTGAACCATAGATTTGTAATCTCATCTCGTTCTGGCAAATACGCAACACAGCATGCTGCGAAAACTTTGTCGTGTTGGGAGGCCAGCGGGTCGACCACAACCTCCGGTTTTGAATCCTTGCTCTCACCGCCGCCCACCAGAGCCGCCACACCCCCCGCAACGGTATCAACGCAATCGATTCCGGCGTCAGCCAGGGCTGCTGATGCGACCGTGATGCATCCGGCCAAGACGTTCATCGTGTCCCAAGCCTCATCGTGGTCGCCAATGCTGAGGCTCCGGTCCTGGTCGCCCTCGATCACCGAGATGATGATGTCGACGCCGCTCTTGGGCCAGCGGTCTGCGATGATGGCTCCTCGTAGTGCCGTTTCGAGATGAATACTGAGGTCCCGCTCCGTTGAGTCTCTCAGATAACCCCGTCTTTGCTTCGTTGCGAATGGAGCGTACTTGACATGAGTAGTGAGAATGATGTGCGGTGAGAAGGGCATTGATCTTGGTAGTGCTCTTGGTCCATGGACCGTACAGCTCAGTTTGAGGCCAGAAACCCCAGGCTTAGCCGATGTTTGGACCTCAAGGTAGGCAGATGCTGAAGGAGTGACGCCAGTTTTGAGGACTTTGAGAGATATTGTCAGACTCGTTCCTGGAGAGTGGAGGCAGAAGCACTCACATATTGGCCGGGCTGTGTTGACGGGCCTGGTTCTGCTTGTCGCCTTTTCCGACAGGACTGTGGTCTCGTCGCCAGCAAAAACTGGGGGCAAGGTGCCGCCAACGGGACCGTTGATCCGCCTTCTGTCTGTCATTTTAAGGTGCCTTGAAATGGGCGCGACGTGGAATAAAGCGGATAAGTCTATTCCCAGGACGAGGAGTGGTCTCTTGCATGAAAATCCGGGCTAGTGAACAAAAAGGTTTGAGCGGCCTCGGTTTGGTTCATGAGCTCGAAATCGAAATCCAATGCCTGCCTCCCTGCCTGCCACAAGCTGCTTGCTTGCCTATGACAGTTTTGCATGCCCCATCAACTGCGACTAAGAGTGGCCCGAGCTCTGCGTCTCCACAACCCCGAGCCCAAGCTACAAAATTCTGCCAGGTCGGATCTCACTTTTTTCTGCGTCCTTTCAATCACACAACCTTCCACAGCAACTCCTGGCAAACGGCACAACCACATATCTCTCAGACCTTGGCGCGCCGGTTGAGTATGTGAGTAGGCCCTCGATCACCGCAACAGATGATGCAGAGGCTCTACAGGTTGTCAAGCCAGCCATGGCGCCGCAGCAACCAGCGAGTGCTGTCGCTTGCTTTGCGTGACGCGACTGCGCTTTCTTCACTCTTGTGAAGCTCCAGCATTTTGGTCAGTCTTAAACCCCCCAAACTCTTCCCTTCAACCATCTGCGAGCTTGGACTGGGTTTGGCGCTCTTGATGATTTCTTAACCACTTGTTCCACGCGAACTCTATGAGCGAGAACAAACATGCATCACCATCTGAAGCACAGCCTCCAGCCTCTTGCTGTGATTGATACCCGCGGCAGACAAGTTTTGCTAACAGTATCACAGGGTAATAACAAATATCATTGACTGTCTGCGCTTCACTGCATTGATCTGTAAGCAGCCGGACTTTTCCTACCCCCTTGCAACTGCTGCGATTTTCATGATGAAAACATCTTTATTCAGTTCTGCTTCTGAACATACTTGATGACACAACCTATACCAAAAACATTTTCTGAGCATCGCACTCGCATTATCTGTGTCATTCACCAGCTGGTCTGAGTGATCATGAGCTAACATGCAATTACAGAGGTGTCAGAGACTGCAGGGCTGACTGGCCCGACCTCGCCTGCTTGATCACAGCATCTGCTGCGATGCTACGAAATGGTTAGTCAAGATTTCATTTCGTCTGCACACGTCATCTTTTATGATGATAATAGCTTATCCATTCAACGATATGTACGAGCCGAGCCATCCTCCCGCACTAGAGCCTCCTTGTGTGGTGATGACCAGTAGTGGAGTCTTTCCCCTCGGGGGATGTCATTTGGCTTCAGTGCCTGCGATCTTCGTGCTCCGTCTTGGGGTGTGGCAGATCAGGGCCGGCTTGTACGGCTGAGTTTAACGGCTTTCTGAGATGTGTGTGTTTGCAGGCGCTCTCTGAGCTCTCATGTCTGGTCGTTTTCCACTCACTGACACGTCACTAGGCAATGGTGGTGCCCGCCGTGCGCATATTCAGCCCGGGCGTGATGTGAGATATTGCTAAGAAGGTGAGTGAGTAGGCTCAAGAGCCCCGGTAGAGGTCATCCTATGCCACACCACAAATATCCTCGCTGGCCAGGCTTTGCTGCCAATGCCATGCCCATTATAGCTCCTCAGGGCCACAATTACTCCACATGAGCTTTGATGTTGTATCAGTAGGCTTTGCAACGTTATGCTACTCACGGGCCAGTTGGCGATGTGCTGTGGCAGCCAGCCATGTGACTTGTCCTGTCCTCCTGGCTTGGTGGGTTCGTCAAATCTATAGCGGAATCAAATATACCGTGTCTCAAGATCAAAACTGCCCAGGTGCTGCAAGGGGTAGCTGGATGGGTGGGTCTGTGCAGATGAACCCCAGACGTCAATTTGGGCTTGTAAGATGTGCCCCTGGCCATGGAACTTGGATGTACTGTACTACCCCAGCTGGTGTGCCACGGGACGTCGACCAAAAATACTTGGCCCACGGCGGGCTCGATGTACAGGGTCTTCCCTTAATCTTTATCCATGTTGCTACAACCCCCTCTGATAATGCAACGCTATTCCTACTAATTAAAGACCCTTATTTCTTCTCTTCTAAACGCAATTATGGTATTAATCGCTTTATTAAAGCGTTTTTTATGCTTTTATGCCCTAGGAACCTTATTATCATTAAACCCCTTATTTCCCCCTTTATTTTTTAAGGTTAGGGTTAATTTACAATACTTAAGCCTTATAGCTATAAAGCTATAAACCCTTTACCCACTTTATATACTTTTTATTACATAATCAACCCTTTTATATCACATAATACTATAATATATTATTATTTCCCTCTTTTAAAGTATTATTTATAATTATTATTATTAATTTACTTTATTAATATCTTTTTTTAATAAGAATTGCTATATATAATATTATTTTAAGTAATTTCCTATTAATTACCTCTTTAATTAATCCTTTAACTTTTTTAATTAGTTAATATAATAATTAATTATATAATAAGTTAGCTTTAAATTTAATAAATCTTAAAACTAACTATTTCTTTATATAAATCCTTATTAAAAGTTTAAGGCCTTTAACTTAACTTAAATTAATAATTAAGATATAATATTATATATTATTTTAACCTTTTAAGAGTTAAAAAACTTTTCTTAATTGCCTTTTAATTATAAAAATAACTTTCTTAATAAGTTTATATAAAACAATACTCTTAAAATCATTACTAGCTATAATTAAATAATAATAAATAAGTTATAAGCTATAATAATAAAGGCATAATATCCTTATAATTAAAAAACTTAAGAAAAAACAGTAAATAAATAAATAAGCTCTTTTTATTATTGTAAATTAATATTTATATATTAAATTACCATCCCTTATGCCATTATATTAATTAAGGGTATAAATATATCGATTTTTTTAATTAAACCATTATTAAAAGGCCCTTAAATTAAGTTTAATTAAACATAACCTCCTTAATCTCTTAAGTATTTTAAGCTTTTATTATAATAATGCTTTTAATTAAGCAATTAAAGGTTTTTAAAGGTTAATTAATAATGCCCTTATTATTATTATTATTATTTATAAAAAAGCTATAATTTTATAATAAAGGTAAGATTAAAAATATACTTAAATTAAGCACTTTTTACATTTTAAACTTATTTAATAATTACCTACCCCTTTTTATATAATTATATTATTATAATAATATATACTTTACCTTAAATAAATACTTAACTAATAACTAGCTTAATTACCTTATAAGTACTTCCTTTCTTTATAAATATTATTTATTATAATGCTAATGCTTTCCTTAATATTAATAATAATTTTAATAATAATAAAAAGGATATTAATAAGCAATTAAATAAAAACATTGCTAAGTTAATTATATTAATATTTTTGCCTACTTTTATGCCTTAGCAACTCTTAATTTATATATTATAAATAAGCTTTTTTATTAAGGGTCCTTATATTAATTATGCTTTAATTCCTAAATCCCTTAAAGCCCTCTTACTTTTAATAAGCCTTCCTTTTTTAATACTTAAAGTTAATAAGCTTAATATACCCTTAAACATTATAAAGCCCTTAATTAATCCCCATATAAAATCCTTTCCTTTTATATATTTTAACTTCCCCTTCCTTTATAAATAAGATCTTTTTTAAATAACCTTATTATTATTAATTATTATAAGCTAGCCTTGGGTTATCTGCTGTAAAGTGTTTAAATAGGGTTTATATTTAAAATGCAAAGGAAAAGGTTCGCTCTTTATTTATACCCGCGCTAAAGCCTATTCTTATAAAGCCAAAGCCTATTAATTAATTATAATAAGCAAAGCCTAAACCATAACATATCCTCTTTCTCCAAATCCTTATAGCAAGCCTTAAAGGGCAACTATATAATAAAAATAAAGAACGCCATAATTTAATTGCAAATTAAACATTGCTTTTTGCCCAGCTATTTAATTACACCTTAGCGCCTCTTAATTACGTTAAAAGCCTAGCTTATTATCCATAATTAATACGCTTTAGCCCTTATAATTTAATATATTAGCTAAAGTAAGTTAATAAGAAATGATTATTTAAATGTAAGCTAATGGCTAAATTAATGGCATTTTTATAATCCTTTAATATAAGCCTTTTGCATAAGCTTCCTTACTTAAAATCTTAAAATCGCAAATTTATTATATAATTTATAATTAATTAACGCTTAATTATAAGCAATTTGCTTTATTAATAAGAATTTCCTAAATTTTAAGCATTTTTATAGCGTTAAATTAGCTAATATATAGCTAGTTTACTTTAAGCCTAAGCTAGCGCTAAGTTAACATTGCTTTTAAGCCCTACCTTATAAAAAAAAATTTATGCCCCCTTAAATAAACTCCTCCTCCTTGCCAGCCTTAGTTAATAAAAGCTGCATCTTTATTTTCTTATAACGGTTAGGGTAATTACGTTTATAATAGCTGAGTTAGCTATATATAAAATACTTAACTTTGCTTATTAAAATTATTGCAATATTAATATTTATTGCTTTATTATTTTAAGATTAAATATTATTCTTCCTTATTATAATGCTAAAAACGCTTTTATATTGCTATAAGGCAAAGCAAAAGGCTTTAAATATATCCAGCTATTCCTTGCAATTAAGCTAAGCTTTTATTATAAAGATTAAGTTATTAGCTATTAATAGTATTTTATATTTATTTAGCTAACTTTAAGCTTTCGCTATATAAATTAATTAATTAAATTAAGTAAAAAATTTTGCTATCCCCTCCTTATAACGCTATTGCAGCATAATTAAGCTAAGCTTAACATACTTTTATTTAAAAGGGTCCCTAAGCATAAAGCAAACCTTCTTTAAAAAGCTCTTTAGCTGCCCTTTAAACATTTTTATAAAATTAATATAAGGTAAAAATTAATTATAAAAAGTTCCTAATTAATTAAATATATAAAAAAATTAAGCCCTTTTAATATTAATTACCTCTTTATTTATTATAAACTTAACCCTTATCTTTACTAGCTAAGTTATTAAGTATTCTTAAAATAAGAGTTCCTTAAGATAAGGAAGGGCTTAATAAGCTGCCGTTATTCTTTTTAAGTCTTGCTATATTAAATTTTATATAATTATATTATAAGTTTATAATATAAAAAAACTTTAAATATATATTATAAGCTAGCCTTAAGTTGTTTACCGTAAAGTGTTTAAATAAGGTTTATATTTAAAGTATAAAGGAAAAGGTTTGCTTTTTATTTATATTTACATTAAAGCTTATTCTTATAAAGCTAAAGCCCATTAACTAATTATAATAAGCAAAGCTTAAATCATAACATTAATAATAAAAACTTTAAACATAAAGCAATTTAACTTATATTTTCTTTTAAAATTACATAATTCATAAAATATTATTAATATATTATTAATATTATAAAATATAAACGTAATTAATGCTATACCCTTTATTATTATAATTAATTAATTATGCTTATTATTACTTATATATTTAATTTAATAATTATATAAATATAATACACCCTTATTATGCAAAACTTAACATAACCTTATAGTTATTTTTATATAATTTTATGCAATATTATTAATCTTTTTTTTTCCTTAATAAATATACTTAAAAAAATAAAATACATTATAATATATAAAACTACTTAAAATTTATATCCTTTATTACTCCCTTTTAATAAAAAAGCTTTATAAAATGTTATGCTTATTATAAGGTACCGCTATATAATTTAGCTAGCTTGCTTCCCTTTTCCATTATATATTAAATAAACTTAACTTGCCTTTACCCTTTAATAATCCTACTTGCTAAATATTAATTAATTCCATTAAGTATAAATTAATGAAATATAGTTTAATAGCTTTAATGCTTATTATAAATTCATTATAATTAGCCTTAGCAAGGATATTAAAAAGTTTTTTAAAGCTAAGTTTAAGCTTAATAATTAAATGTTTTAAGGTTATTTTACTAATAATAAGAAGGGTTCCTTAATTATTTAAGAAAAGAAATAAGGAAAGATTAATAATAAATTATATTAATTAAGGATCTTTTTAAAATTAAAAGCCTTTTAAAGGTTTAATAATTCCTTTATTATTTAATAAGATAATATTTTAATATATAAATTAAAATTAATTAAGATTTATTTTAATAAGCACTTTCTTAATGCTTATATTATTAATTTGCCAGCTTATTTACTAAATCTTAACTTAATTAAGTATATTTAAGCATTTATAAAAAGATAAATTAATAAATAACCTAAAAAATAACCTATAAACAAAAATTTAATGGCAGCAATTTCCTTAGCTTAAGAAGCTATTAATTTAAATATATTAATATATCTTTATTTAAGTATATTAAGGTAAATAATAACGGTTATTATAGTAAATAAAGGCTGAATTAGCATATAACTTTATAATTAAGTAACTTATTAATATAAGCTATTTTCACCATATAATTTAATATTAATATTATTAATATATACTAATCGCCAAGATTAAGAAATCTACGTAATTCGTTATTATTAACTTAGGGGGCCCCTCGCCAACGCACCGGAAGTCACGAATTAACCTTCTTTAGGGGAAAACCCTGTACCGTGTAGGTGGCCTTAGCGCCATAAGAACTAGCCGCAAGCAACCCTGCACCCTATGGTCGCAACCCGCTGATTCATCTCGCAATTCACGAGGTTGACGCAGGACACATTCCCTCTTGTTCGTGGCTCGTGGTACTAGAACACGAAGTAATCCTCCAGGACCCGTGTCCCTTCGCCATGCGATAGACTATGAACCTTTCCATCTGACAACATTGCCTGCGACCTCCGGGAGATCGCCACGACAACCAGCGAGCTTGGACGGGCCAGCCTGTCCCTGGACTCCTGCTACGCATCCTCGAGACTGCGTTCGAATCCGACCGCCTTCTTCCACGCCATCGCCCTCGATCCCCCGACCCAATGCTGCCATCATATTCGTCCTCCGGCTCCAAGGTGGTGCCGAGGCACCATGCGGGTGGATATGCTGCCAGCAACGGGTATCCGAGGAATAAGGACTTCTCCTTCGACATGTCACCACACCGGTACATACCTGGTCTCATCTTGCACTTCTACCTTCTCTGTCAGATACGTCAGACTGAATGTGGCTAACCCGTGCGCTTTCTTTTGCCAGATTTCAACCACGAGGGACGACACCAGCAGCCCGACGGCGGCGACGACTATTGATAAGACTCGGCATAATACTGGCTGTTGCGTTCCTAATCGGCATATTCGTATGGCCTGGCGGAGGGGTATCGCTTGCATCGCTATTCTCGTTCGGCCTGATCTCAGGAGGGGAGGATTTCCAACTCGAAACTGTGCGGTACTACGACTTGTCCAACGTTCAGGGGACCGCCCGCGGCTGGGAGCGCGAAGAACGCATCCTCCTATGCGTGCCACTCCGCGAAGCCGAGAACCACCTGCCGATGTTCTTCTCCCACCTACACAACCTCACATACCCGCACCACTTGATAGACCTTGCTTTCTTGGTCTCGGACTCGCAAGATCGCACACTGGAGGTGTTGACAGAAAGCCTGGAATCATTACAGGCTGAGGAGGACCCCAAAATGCCATATGGCGAAATATCTGTCATTGAAAAGGACTTTGGGCAAAGCGTCAACCAGGATGCCGAAAGTCGACACGGTTTTGCAGCGCAGGCGAGCAGGAGAAAGCTGATGGCCCAGGCAAGGAATTGGCTTCTCAGTGCTGCTCTGCGGCCCTACCACTCATGGGTCTACTGGAGGGACGTCGACGTAGAGACTGCCCCTTTTACCATCCTCGAAGATCTAATGCGCCACAACAAGGACGTCATCGTTCCAAGTGAGTCTTGTCAATCCACACGTGGTGATTTGCGACGCTGACCATAGCACAGATGTTTGGCGGCCGCTTCCAGAATGGCTCGGCGGAGAGCAGCCATACGATCTAAACTCATGGCAGGAGTCGGAGACTGCTTTGGCGCTGGCGGATACCTTGGACGAGGATGCTGTCATCGTTGAAGGATACGCCGAGTATGCGACATGGCGGCCCCACTTGGCTTACTTGCGAGACCCCTACGGAGATCCAGATATGGAAATGGAGATTGATGGAGTGGGAGGTGTCAGCATTTTGGCCAAAGCCCGTGTATTCCGATCCGGCGTCCACTTCCCGGCCTTCAGCTTCGAGAAACATGCAGAGACCGAGGGCTTTGGAAAGATGTCCAGGCGCATGGACTACTCTGTTGTCGGCTTGCCGCACTATACTATCTGGCATCTGTACGAACCCAGTGTTGATGATGTTAAGCGCATGGAGGTATGTCTTGCCCTCTCAGCAAGCAAACGAACAAACCGAACGATGACGGCTAACTCGTTATCCAGGAAATGGAGGCGGAGAAGAAGGCCGCGGAGGAAGAAGAGAGGAAGAAGAAAGAGAAAGAGGCCAAGATCAAGGAGGAGTTCAGCTTCAGTGATGCCAAGGCCCAGTGGGAGAAGGACAAGGAGACTATCGCCAAGAATCAGGAAAGACAGGCGGCTGATTCTGCCGAAAAGCCACGGAAGTCTTCGAAGCCCGCCAACAAGGTCGAGAAAGTCCCTCATGGCAGTGACACATAAGAGATTATCGTGGAGGCAGCTGCAGATAGACTTCTGTTGCATTCATTCCAAGCTTTATTGTTTTTCTTTCTCGCGATGGGAGGCAGGACTGGACGCTCTCTCCCTATGTCCTGGACGACTTTCTATACATATTGCGACCACGGGGAGCGCGGAAAGCGGGTTGAATGGAGATACCTTTGGGCGTTCGGACATTGCTTTGGAAGATAAAAGGGAACATTGACGTTCACATGCTGTAAAGTAGACGGGAGAGCGTCTTTTGGGACACACCACCAAGGCGTTATGATGGTATACGGAACTTCAGAATGGACTTGTTCTGGCCCGGATTCCAGAAGCAATTCATGGCTGCATCTTGTCTGTATACTGATGCTCCATCCCCGGTCTGGGCCATGTTCCAGGCCTTGCCTCCAACTGTCCAGCCCAAACTGCGATATGAGCGTACCACCTGGCGAGAAGCTCTTTTCTCTTCGTGTCAACAAAGAGAAAGAGAACAGGCCGTGCCTCTTGACACGTCACAATTCCTCCAAAACAATTTCTCAATTGCGGCCTAATTCGCTCGTCCGGGCTCGTAAGACAAAGGGAATGATTCTGTCCAGACGCCATGTGCCAAATAGACGGTAGAAGGAACAGGCCAGCTGCCTGCCGGCCGCCAAGCCCCCCAACGTCACTTACAGTGGTCTCCAGCTACGTGCAGCACCGGAGTACGTACCCGTCCGTGGGCCGCCCTGGGGAGGAAGCTCCATGTGTCCTAACAAGCGACCGGCCAGCTAAAGGTCTACCCGTACCTCTTATCGAGCTCACGCGCCGGCTTGCCTGTCGCCTCCTTCCATGCGTTTTCCACTGTCGCCACTTGTTGCCCAAGAAGAGATGCTTATGAGTTTCTTTTAGTTCTCAGCGAATTCAGTCCTGCCTTTTAGCTCAGCGTCCCCCGGCCGGAATCGACGAACGCGTGCATCATCTCCGAAGCGACTTCTCTGGTAGCCCTCACGGCGGCAAGGACATCGCTCCAACCTGTCCCTTTGGGCATTCGACCTGCCTCCAGAACCACCCGTAATCATGAGCCACGATGCGCGCATCCCCCAGATTCTGGAGCCTTCAGTCTCACCGGCGCCCTCCAGGCCAACAACTCCTTCCTTCCGTCGGGCGCTACACCATTCTCCTCGCATGCAGTACCGGAGTCGTCCTGTGTCTGTCGCGGTAGATCCAGTGTCCCTCGTCATAGCCGAATGCATAGCAATCACCTCTGCGATCCAGAAACATGCCAGATCTCCTCACTCATCAGTGGCGGCTATCCTGGGCGGCGGCCCCAGTCCGGTACAACTGGGGCCTGCGAACGCTGTGAACTTGGGAAGGGCGAAGGGCAAGAACCCGGCCGCGAATATCATGGGTGACGGCACAGCCGACCTGGTGCGCTGGGGGCTGCGTGGAAAGAAGGGGAAGAGCATGCAGGACAATCCGTTGATATCTGGCTTTGGGAGGTTGCGGCATGAGTTAACTGGCGTCAGGGACATACACAACTTTGACGCCTTGACGATGCTCTACCCATTTCTGCAGATCATCCAGACAAAAGGAACTGCTGCTCCAGTCACGATTCTTGCCCTGAGGGCCATACGAAAGTTTCTAGCGTACGGCTTCATCTCCCCCGAGTCGCCTCGCTTCGCTGTGGCAATGCAGTCCTTGTCGGCCGCCATCACGCACTGTCAATTCGATATAAGTGACGCGCCACAAGAGGAGGTGGTGCTGTTGATGATCTTGCATCTGATGGAGGACATGCTGTCGGGGCCAGGCGGAGATATACTCAGCGACGAAAGCGTGTGCGACATGATGGGTCGCGGCCTCACCATCTGCTCGCGGCCGAGGTTCTCGGAGGTCTTGAGACAGACGGCAGAGGCATCGATGGTAAGGATGTGCCAGATCATATTCGAAGATCTGAAACACCTTGAAGAAGAGGCTGGGGAGGAGGTAGACGCACTGGACAAGAAGACGAACGGCGATATGGACACAGTGAGCATGGACCCGTCGGCGAACGGCACCGACATTCCAGCAACAGCTGCACCCTCTCCCTCACCAGAGCCAAATCGTGCAGAGCCCCGGTCTTCCGAGTCTGGAAGCGCCCCATCGACAGGTACTGGAGAAGCAGACCAGGCCACTCTAGCATCCGAGGCTGGGACAGCGGACTCACTCGACCTGCGACCATACTCTTTACCATCAGTCCGCGAGTTGTTCAGAGTCCTGGTCAACTTCCTGGATCCGCATGACCGCAGGCATCCTGACACAATGCGAGTGATGGCGCTCCGAATAATACACGTAGCCCTCGAGGTTGCCGGACCCTCGATTGCTAAACATCCCGCCCTCGCTTCCATCGCCGAGGACCGTCTCTGCTGCTACCTATTTCAGTTGGTGCGGTCCGACAACATGCTGATCCTACAAGAGTCTCTCCTTGTCGCCGGGACGCTACTGTCAACATGTAGGGGAGTCTTGAAGCTGCAGCAGGAAAAGTTCCTGTCCTATCTGGTGGCGTGCCTCCACCTGTCTTTTGAGATTCCTCGAGAGGCCGGCATTGACCCGTCGCTGTACGCCGGCATCCCTCAAGCTCCCAAATTGGTGAAACCCCCTCCGTCGCAAATGAGTAGTGGTCGTTCGACTCCAGTTCTAATCAAGGATCGGCAGAAGCTGGGATTGGAGGGTAGTGCGCGGAAGCCAGATGCGAGGCAAGCAATGGTGGAAAACATCTGCGTGCTTGCCAGGATGCCGACCTTCATGGTAGAGCTATTCGTCAATTACGATTGCGATCCAAACTCAGCAGACTTGTGCGAAGACATGATTGGGATGCTATCACGCAACGCCCTGCCGGATTCCGCTACCTGGAGCACAACAAGTGTACCGCCACTTTGTCTGGATGCACTTTTGAGATTCATCTCGTTTATTGCGGAGAGGCTCGATCAGCCGGTGAGGACAGCCGGGTTTGTTGACGCAGCGGATCTCAGAGAATCGCGGAAAGAAGAAACTCATCATCAAAGGCACAAGCAAGTTCAACGAAAACCCTCGAGGAGGTCTAGCGTTTCTGGCAGACAAGGGCATCATCGGATCTGCGACGGATCCAGAGGAGGTCGCCAAGTTTTTGAGGTCGACCACTCTCGTGTCGAAGAAGGTTCTCTGGGAGACTACCTTTCTAAGAGAGGTAACGAGGCAATCCTCGATGCCTTCATAAACTCTTTCGACTTCGAAAACAAGCGTGTCGACGAAGCATTGAGGTCCATGCTCGAGTCATTCCGCCTTCCAGGCGAAGCTCCTCTGATCGAGAGGATAGTAACCTCTTTCGCAGAGAAGTACTGTGCCAATTCGATACCTGAGGATGTCGCAGATAAGGACGCTGTCTACGTCCTCACTTACGCCATCATCATGCTCAACACCGACCAACACAATCCTAATCTCAAATCTGCGAATCGCATGACGGTGGAGGACTTTGCACGCAACCTACGTGGCGTGAATGGGGGGAAGAACTTCGCCATTGAGTACTTACAAGCGATATTCGACGCCATCAAAACGAATGAGATCGTCTTGCCCGATGAGCATGACAACAAGCATGCATTCGATTACGCATGGAGGGAGTTGCTCCTGAAGACAGAAGCCGCAGGTCCTCTTATAATTTGCGATACCAACATTTACGATGCCGACATGTTTGCTGCAACATGGAAGCCAATCGTTTCGACCCTATCTTACGTCTTCATGTCTGCTACTGACGACACGGTCTTTGCAAGAGTTGTCTCTGGGTTCGATGAATGTGCCCGCATCGCCTCCAAGTACAACATCACGGAAGCCCTGGATCAGATCATCTACTCTTTGAGTCTCATGACGACTCTGACGCACGACTCAATCTCGAATACCAGCTTGAACACAGAAGTTCAAGTCGATGAGAAAAAGGTCATGGTCAGCGAACTCGCTGTCAAAATAGGACGCGACTTCAGGACTCAACTTGCATTACTCGTCCTATTCCGCGTTGTCACGTCTAAGGAGCATATCATCCGGAAAGGCTGGAAAGACGTAAGTGCTCTCCGCGGAGACGGCCGGGAATTTACTGCTAACACAATAAACTAGATAATCCGCATCTGGCTGAACCTCTTCGCAAACTCACTCGTCGGCTTCCCCAGTGATCGGAGTCGTCTGGCGATATCGTCAATCCCGCTGCGAAGTCCGTCCCAAGTAATAGATCGCGCCGCTAAGCAGAACGACACGGGCCTGCTGCAAGCTTTCTCGAACTTCCTGCAAAGTTACGCAGCTGATGATCCGCCTGAGCCGTCGGAAGAGGAATTGGATAGCACGCTCAGCACCGTTGAATGCATCAATCAGTGCCAGATGGAGGACATCTTTGCACATCTCTCGTAAGCTGTGAATCCCATTTATGGCCCACCTGGGTGCTAACGAGACCAGAAACCTTCCGGATGACAGCCTCGAGGCCTTGGTTGATGCCTTACTGGACCAAATCCCGGAGGACAGCGGGTCTGGAGTGGTCATCACTGTGAAAGCCGACAACGTCCCCCCGCATTCTCCTGCTTTGGCCCAGAAACCCCGGAACAACGTGTTGTACGACCCCTCGCTCGTCTATATACTGGAACTGAGCACGATCCTTGCTCTTCGGGACGACCACACAGTCCAGTTACTTGGTAAGCGTGTGGTCGATGCGCTGCAGGCCATACTACGTGACATCAGCAGTTACCACCCTATTACTGTCTCAAGGACCACTTTCTACTCCTTCAGACTACTTCAGGCCAGCTATGTAAGTTCCTCGAAGTATGATCGAAGTGGAGAGGAAGAGGCTCAACCCGACGTTCAGGAGTACGACTTCATCCGCGCCCCGGTACTACTCCACACTGTATCGAGCTTCTCTCCAGACAACCTCAAGAAGACTTCCAAACTGGTCCTCCAAGGACTCAAGCTCTGTGTTGACGAGCAGGGTCCGTTGCGAAACGAGACCATGACCTCGCCTGATTTTTGGGCCATCCTGCGCAATTTAGCATCCGAGAAGAACTCCGCACCCACGGTATTTGAGATTTTGGAGACCGGCGTCAGTCCTTCATCAACAGCCATCATGGCGGACAACTACGAAGCCGCTATCGGCCTGCTCAGCGATTTTGCTTCGGCTGCGAGTGCCACTGTGCCCAAAGAACCAAAGGTGGACCCCCGGAGACAGTCACGGAAACCAGCTCGTCCAACCTCTGCGAAGCCAGAGACTCCCAGGTATGTCTTGCTGACCGAACTGTATCTATGCGTGCTAATACTTCCCAGTGAGAACCCCGCCGTGCAGCGTGGCATCAAGGCTGTCAACATCATCTACAGCATGACTTCTCGCATTCCGCAGCTCATGAAGCAGTCCCACCTGGAGAATAACGAGGGTGAGTCATTTTTGGATCATTCTGCAAAGCCGTGTTCACTGACGTATCATCAGCGTGGTCTGCTTATTGGCTGCCTATCTTTGAGGCACTAACAACACAATGCACAAATCCGCGCAGAGAAATCCGCCAACTGGCCTTCAATTCGCTTCAAAGGGCTTTGTTCTCGCCGGAGCTGACATCGAGTGACCACCGGGAGTGGACCGCAATCTTTGGTGAAGTCCTGTTCCCGCTGATCTTGCGGCTGCTCAAGCCCGAGGTCTTCTCGTCAGACCGTGACGGCATGAGCGAGACACGGGTTCAAGCAGCTTCTTTGCTGTGCAAGGTCTTCCTGCAGTACCTGGTACTCCTCTCGGAGTGGGAAGGAATGTTAGATCTGTGGCTCAAGATCATTGACATTATGGACCGCCTCATGAACAGCGGTCAGGGAGACAGTCTTGTAAGAAACCCCCTCTGTGCTGTCGAAGTAAAGTGCACGTGCTCATATTCAACTCTTGCAGGAGGAAGCTGTTCCCGAGAACCTGAAGAATGTTCTCCTGTTCATGTCGAGCAACGGGTATCTTGTGCCGCCGAGCCAAGATCCATCGAAAGAGAAGCTCTGGTCTGAATCATGGAAGCGAATAGACCGATTTTTACCAGACTTGAGAAAAGAACTTGCTCTGGAGGAGCAAGAGCGACCACAGAGTAAAGGCTCGAATGAGCCTCCTGCGGCAACTGAAAAGGCGGAGGATGAGAAAGCAGCAGTGGAATCCGACAAGGTAGGCAAGGAGGCATGAAGATACCAGACGGCGATGAGAGCATTTAGACGTGGATGACAGGTGCGTACATATCTATAGACCCATGGGGATGGCAATACAGACCGCCGATAATGGCTACGGGCGAACTTGAATTCCCCTGTGAACATCAGCGCTCTCTTTTCTGCGAAGGCAAGCAAACCCTCGTTCCGCTCTTTGGACCTCAACCGACAGCTTCTCATACGCGTGGCTCTCAACCCCATCGCGCACGCGGACGGCAGGCTTCTCCTAGTGATGGGTGGCATCTAAGAGAATGAGGATAGAATGGCACGAGTCGTGTCGGGGCATCGTCGTGGGTCCCTTATCTCTGCCATATAGAGTTAAATTGTGGTCCACCTGCTAGGGACGAGTCTAGACTGTACTCTCCAGGGAATGTAAGTCAGCGGTGTCTCATTTCGGAATCGCTCCCCATGGGGCACAACGCATCCGATGTTCTACAACCGCCCTGGAACGCCCATATTGCGCCACCGAGAAGGCTTTGAGTCAAAAGGAGGGGAAGAGATGATGTGAAGCCACAACGTGTTCGTGTCTAGCACTTGGACAACTCGTGGCCTACCATATCCCACGTACGTTGAGATAGAACCATCTGTGCGAACCAATTGCCCTTCAAGTCACTCCCCTGGACCACAACCAGACAACTCGGCTTCATTCCCGACCGCGGTGTGCTGCTCTGCCAGGACGGCTTGCCGGCGTGCTCGCCTCCGCTGCCAGCCTTCAGAATCGCAGGGGAAAAGTCCACGGCCTCCCAGTATTTCGCTTTGGCCAAGCTGCTCACCGAGACCAGGAAGCTGTCTTTGCCCGTGAAGAAGTCTGGTGTCCCCGTCCTTGCCACAGCGGCATGAGTCAGGTAGGCAGCTGCTTGCACCTGGGGTAACGTGAGCTGCCGCTTCAGACTTGTCCGCATGAGGGCGGCCGCCGTGCCCAGTGGCGAGCACAATAGCGATCCTGCTGTGGTGTTGATCCAGGTGTATGCGAGCAGGTTCTGCAGGTAGACCGTGCCGGGACGCAGGCCGTGGAGATGGAAGCCTCGTAGGTCGACGGCTGATGTGATGCCAATTGGTCGGTTTGAGCATTTGAGGGGCGAACAGGCCAGCCTGAGCAGCCATGCTGTCAGGAGTTGATTATCGCTGAGGTAGGTCTTGTCCGTAGCATGAACCTCAGCTTCTCGCCGTAGTCGAGCCATTGTTGAGGCGGGGATGAAGACGTTGCGCTGCCTATAATTATTCCGATTCTTCAATCGATCCACGATGAACCGGAAAACCCAGTACCATTTGTGCCAGCCAGTGAGCCGATTGTCCACGTGAATATAACGCTCCTCGTCTGCTGATGGAGAGCGGCATATTATATTCATTGGGTCTTCGTCCCAGCCAGCCAAGGGACTAACATCTCCTAGCTGCCCAGCGAGCACCTTGCACCAATTTGTGATTATCTCACGTTTACCCACACCATCGACCAGGCTGTGAGAGTAGTTGAGTGTGACGAATGTGGCATCAACAAAGGTGATGACATGGACGGCCAGCGCAGGCCTGTCCGAGTATAGCCAGTCGTCCAGGCACTTTGGAGCTTCGGGACCGGCGAGTAATATGTCGAGTTCTTCGGGCGTGTCTAGTACACATGGTCTGTCCCTGGAAAATGGGAGCGTTCCATCCAGGACGTGATCGTGAATACTTATTGCATGAGTCTCATGAGTGAACTGGACTGCTGGTCGCTTCAGATCAAATTTGTCTGGGATGTGAAGCTCGAGCTGCTCTTCATCCTGGTCTCATCTGTCAGCCATTGGTATCTCTAGGCATGCTTTGACAAGCCCACTGCTGGACCTTGAATACAAGTTGGGATTATACTCACGTTGATACGGAAACGCCCACCCAGTTTCCTCCAATTTGGACCCTTGCTGATCAGATCTTCAAGTGACCTCTCTAGCATGCCCACATCCAAAGCCTCTTCGAAGCGAAACGTCCAGTTCATGCACATACTTCTCATCATCAAGGAGTTCTCAAGGGTTGCCAAATTGACCACAGTGTCGGTGGGCACCCTCTCCGGACGTTGACGCTGTGAGCCCTTGCGACTGAAAAGCCATGATAAGAGTGACACCATCGTCTAGGTCGTCTGAAGCTCACAATGCTCCAACAGATGTTGGCAGGATGAACTGAACTTGCGAATTTGGATCTGAACATCGTCTTCGGCTATTTGTTCTCCAGGGACGGTGCCCTGTCAGTGCCTCTAGCCTTACCCATGCTTCTTCGTTCGGGGATACTTAGGTTCCTGACTCGCAGGCTCAAAATCAAAGATAAGCACGCGAGCTACCTGGTCTACGGCGTCTCCGCTGTCGCGACGTAAGTCCATTGCATTATGGAAATGTGAGGGCGTGGTGCTTGTGCGAACACAAGTGCTCAGTTGTGCATGAATTGTTAACACTAATATGCGGCAAAAAGGGACAGCGACTAAATCATTTCAATGTGGAAACTGTCCCTAGCCGAATGAATTGAATCTCCACGAATTCCATAACACTCAATTAATAAGGATGGGACACTAAGAGTTTGAACCATTCTCTATAGTCTTACTGGTGCTTTGCCACTATTGACCACGCTTACACACGACTAAAATCCCTTGCCTTCCGTAGTGTGTTGGTGGTTGTAATCGTGGTATAATTACCTCGCCAGGCGACAGGCTGGGCAGTCTACCGCCGTTTATCACACGCCAGTGAGCTTACACCAATCAATTGGCTCTTTGCCTTGAATGGAGAAATTCCAGTTTCCTGAATTCTGAGACAACTCAAGACGGACGTGCCAGCACATCTATCCTATTCCTGATCTTCCTCAACCTTGAAGTCAACATGGCGTGCATGGTTGAGTGGTCACGTCAAATCAACACATCAATACTTTGGCTAAGAGGGGTTGTCGCAAAAGCCCGGAAGGAACACTCCTCAAAGATAAGGAGAATGCCTCTATGGAGTATTCTCTTGAAGCTGAAATCAGACGGGGATTGAGTTAAAGCATGAGGCTGTGGACCAGGCGTACACATAAATGTCATGGCAATCAACATCCTGCCGAGCTTTGATGACCGGACAATGGAAGCACATCTCCCGCAAGGTCTTGAGCAGCAATCCAGATCTGGAAGTTCGCCCATAGCTATGGGAGTCTGGCCGGCTATTCTGACCCATGGCGAGGATGATGATTAGGCTGGCACCACGCATGCAGTTTGTCTCAAGGCGGCGGTAGTGGTTAACGATCAAGCACAATAAGAAAAAGCGCCGATGGTGGTCATATGATCGATGGTCTACGGCCAAAATGACAAGCCGGTGTAGACCTCCGCTCACCGTGGATCGGCAAGCCATAGGCAAGATACATGACTAGTGACAAGATCTGGACTTCATCTGGGGTAGGAGATGAGTCCCGTTCCGGAAGACCGCGATGGTGCTATGCCTAATCTTCGACTTGTTTGAGTCATTCGCGATATCACTTGTATACCTATCGGCAAAGCTGCCTCTCTTTCCATGCGTGAATAGCATCCAAGCTACCGGTACATTTTTTCAGCGTGATGGCATCGACCCTTCAGATCAATAGACTGCACCCGACTTTCGGCGCCGAGATCGAGGGGATCGACTTCTCCAACCCGATAAGTGATGAGCAGCTGACAGAGATCAAGGACACCATCGCTCAGGTTAGTTATCACAGAGGCAGCAGACGCGAAGGTTATACGGATAGCTTCCAACTAAGCAATTTGCTCTGTTAGTACGGCGTATGTGTCTTCCGCGGCACGTCCCTGGACGATGACAGCCAGGTCGAGCTTGCGCGTAGACTTGGGGAAGTTGAACGTCTGAAAGGAACGCCGGCTGAGCAGTCCAGGCTGAAGTCAATTGAGTTGACCGATCAAAGTAACCTTGAGGTCGACGGGACGCTGCTCGATCCCAACAGCATGAAGGCACTGTCCAACAAGGGAAACGAGCTCTTCCACGTGGACGGTAGCTACAACGTGAGACGGACGAGGTTCTCTCTTCTTCGGGCTTACGAGATTCCGCCCTTGGAGGCTGGCGGCAATACAGGTAAGATCTCGAACCTTCTCGCAGCTGTCTGGGTGGTTGGACAATGCTCCGGGAGAGCATCCGCTGTCTGTCTTCTGACCAAGCACCTTAGAATTTGCCGATACAAGGACAGCCTTCTCCGAGCTTGATGACTCCTGGAGGAATGAGCTGATAAGCAAGGACTACGTGACCAGGCATTCGTTCTGGCACAGTCGCAAGACCGCATCGCCTGAGGCCTTTGCAAAGCTCGATCCGGACCGATACCCTTTCTCGAGGCACAAGCTGCTTCAGCTTCATAAGCCCAGCGGTCGCATGAACCTGTACATCCCGTCTCATATTCGAAGGATTGAAGGACTGCCTGAGGAAGGGTCAGCAGAGAAGTTGGCGTTCTTGAGGAAGCACGCCACGCAGGAGAAGTACACCCTTAGCATCAGATGGCTGAACGTGGGCGACTTAGTTGTGTGGGACAACACATGCACGCTGCATCGGGCTACGGGGCTCAAGGGCGCATTTAGAAGAGACATGAGACGTTGTGGTGTAAGTCTGGCTGAGTTGATCCACTGCTCGAGGCCGGCTGGGGCAAGCAACATGAGTTCGCGGTGCTGACATTTCTAGGTCTTCGATGATGGCACCGAAGCTTATGGACTGAACCCACATGACGATGATTTGAATTTTGCATTCAGCAAAGAGGTGATGCTGGACATTGTGCAGTCACTGACGTCCTAACGGTGCTGAGTCTTCGAAAGACTGTCAAGGGTAAATGCAGGTTTAAATCAGGACGTCGAAGTAAACCATGTAGAAGATAAAGTTATAGAGGTTATATTCTGTCACGTCTCTTCTCATCAAATCGAACCCGAAGGTGGCAGATTTGAGTTCTGGGTAGATGGAAGACAAAAGGCCAATGAGCAATGCGGCAGTGAGGGATGTGCGGGGACCGTGCGTGGGTACAGTGTGGCCTCGAGCGCACACAGTACCTAGTTACGGTGCCTTCACCAGACCAGCCGCCGAGCTGGGGCCATCAAGGCAGGACTCCAACGGACCGTGGAGAGCACCTCAACCTGCACGTCACGTCTCAAAACAGACCTTAGTCAACATCTGCTTCTTTCCAGAAGCCAGGGTAGCCCCAAGTCAAGATGGCTTCAGCGGGACCACCGATAACCACGTTCGTGTCATTGCACCCCGACACAGCGTAGGTAATTGGTATAGCTAACATGTCAATCTTCCACCAGCGTCTACGTGCGGAACCTCGAGGAGCGCGTCAAAATCGACACCCTCAAAGATGCCCTGCGCGAGCTCTTCTCCGAGTTTGGCAATGTCATCGACATCGTCGCAAAGACCAACCTGAAGGCGAAGGGCCAGGCCTTTATTGTCTTTGACAACCCCGAGTCGGCCAAGCAAGCTGCAGAGGAGGCCGACGGCTTCGACCTGTTCGAGAAGCCCATGCAGGTGGCGCTGGCCAGGTCAAGGAGCGATGCGACAGTGCAGAAGTTCGGAAGCGAGGAGGAGTTCGAGCAGCACAAGAGGCGGCGAGCAGCAGAGAAAGGTGCGTCGAGCAGACATTGGACCCCTACTCAGTCGTCATCACGGCTCGGCGTCTGGGCTAACTGTATCCACACAACAGACAAGAAGAAAGCCCTCGAGGCCGAGCAGCAACGCCTCAAGCGCCCCGCCCCCGGCGGCGAGCAGTCTGGCCGCCCGTCGAAGGCAGCAAGAGGTGCTGGTCTCAAGCCAACTGGTCCCGCCGCGGCCGCTGTCGTCCCGGACGAGTACCTCCCCCCCAACAAGATTCTCTTTGTACAGAACCTCCCCGACGACAGCGATGCTGTCACTCTCACAAACCTCTTTGGCCGCTTCGAGGGCTTCCGCGAGGTCCGCATGGTGCCTGGTCGTCGGGGAATTGCGTTCGTCGAGTACGAGAACGAAGCGGGTGCTATTGCCGCCAGGGAGAACTTGGCTGGCACTCAGCTTGGCGGAAAGAACATCAAGGTCACGTACCAGAGGCAGTAGGGAATGTTCGAAAGGCGTTCCATGGGGACCAGAATTGCCGGGAGAAAACTTGCAGTTACATAAGCGTACTGGTGTAAACATCATGATACTAATTCGACAACAATTTACATGGCTCTTCCCTCATCCCTTCATGCATGACTGTTCGCTTTGACCTAGAAAATAACATCCTCATCCTCCTCAGCCCCAAGCACATCTGCGGGCCCACTGTTGTCGTCCCCACCGTGTTGCTCGTGCCCTGCCTGAGCCTCTCTCTTCGCAGCCATCTCGGCGTCCAAAGCGGCATTGTCTCGCTGCTTCTTGTTTGCGACCTTCTTCAGCCGGTAGAACTCCTCTCTGTCCAGCTCGTCGAGCTCGGAGTTGATGTCTGCCGTCCTGGATCAGTTATCATCCCACACATTGTACAGTGACCGACCTACATTTGATGGTATTCTCTGTCCGAGGAATGATGACATGCTCGATGGCATTCACTGTAAAGAAGTCAGCTTAGGCGCTTTACGCAGGTCCACAAGCACTGACCTCTTCGGTTGACGACCTTGATGACCTCGTCGAGGATCACAAACGCAGTCTGAAGGCTCGCCAGCTCCACCAGCGCCTCGACGGCCCTGGCATATGTCTCTCTACACCTCTGAACTTGCTGACCACCCTTGCCGAGACCAGTCATGGCAAAGTCGTTGATGCCCTCCTCGGTGTAGCTCTCGAAGGCCGGTAGCAGCACACCAGAGACGTTCTCTTGCTTTGCCCGCACCCTGAACCGTGCCGCCTTGACAGACTCTTGCACCTGGTAGCCGATGTCTCCACCGACGGCATATGTCACCTCGGCCAGAGAGAAAGAAGCGATCTGCATCACTCGGCCCATCTTCCTCTTGGCCTCATCAATTCGCCTTGTAATTTCTGTCCATTGTCAGACGGTCGTGGGTCTCGGGAGATTCGTTAATTCACATGGATCGTATTCATACCTCGGAAACGTCTGTGGAATAGAGTGTCAGCGTGGGATTCCAAGAAGTTGGCCCGTGACCATTAACGCACTTGGTGAGAGCTTCACTCTTGCGCTTGAGTAAGCTGTGACCCTGCTCAGCTCCCTTGAGCTTGGCTTTCATTAACCCGAGGGATTGGCGAGTCGGGAAGACTGCCTCCCTTTCCTATCAGAGCGTGTGAGCAATTCCGTGTTCGCTGCAGTACATGCTGCGTTATTCGAGGGGTCTTACTCCTGCTCCAGACATCTTGTCGGTTCACTAGGGAGACCCTCAGACGATGTGATTGTCGATATCGGAGCTGGTCAACACGGCAGGGAGAGCGATCGTGGTGGTGACAAGAAGCCACAGTGCGGTGAAACGAATTCGACGAGCCGGTGCAAGCTGTTGTTGCCGATGTTGGGAGCTGGGATCTGACCTATTTCTGGATGTCGTCAGTTGAGGTAGGCCGCAGGAGGAGTGCTAGGTAGCTCTAGGTGGAGCACGGGCCCGTCTATCAGCGGCGGCCGTCGGCTCGGCAGCGCCCGCGTCCCAGCGCATGAACCAGCCTAGCAGCCGCGCGACTGAAAAGAAAAAGCAACATTGTAACCTACACTCACGACGTCGCCCTCAACCCCACGACAACAGCCTTCCTCACCTCATCTCGGCTGGGACGCGGCAGCAGTGATGTCCTGATCCGGGAGTCAGTCTAATCCGCCGTATTGTCCTCGCGTCTCTTGGCTGGCCCGTCAGCCGAGATCATGATGCCTGCCATGCCGTCGACCGCGCTCGCCAGGAATGGTGTCGCACGCCAGCCTGACATCACACTCGTCTCCGATGACGACTTTGTATACGAACAGGACATCCAGCGCAACCCTGGGAGCACAAAACCATGGCTCGCGTACCTGGAGTTCAAATTTCAGCACGGAACTGTCCAGGAGCAGGCGTTTGTCCTCGAGCGGGCGTGCATACAACTCCCGCGCTCGTACAAGCTGTGGAAGTTCTACCTCAACTTCCGGGTCAAACATGTCGCGAAGCTGAACGCTGCCGTCTTCGCCGCCGAATACCGCAAGGTGAACGCGCTGTTCGAGAGAGCATTAATTCTGCTGAACAAGATGCCGAGAATATGGGAGATGTACCTCAAGTTCCTGACGCAGCAGCCTCTCGTCACCCTCACGCGACACGCTTTCGACCGTGCCCTGCGCTCTCTGCCGATCACCCAACATAACAGGATATGGGCCCTCTACCGACCATTCGCGAACTCGGCTGGCGGCATCACAGCGGTCAAGATCTGGAGGCGGTACATGCAGGTCCACCCGGAGGATGCGGAAGACTTTATCGAGCTGCTCGTGCAGGAGGGCTTATACACGGAGGCGATTGAAAAGTACATCTTGATACTCAGCAACCCGCGCTTCCACAGCAAACATGGCAAAGGCAACTACGAGCTTTGGAGTGAGATGGTTGACCTGATGGTCGAGCATGCCACCAAGGTCAAGACCGGCTATGAGACGGGTATTGATGTGGAGCGGATCATTCGAAGTGGCATCGAGCGATTCTCGGACCAGAGAGGGAAGTTGTGGGTTGGACTGGCCACATACTTCATCAGGAAGGGCAGCTTTGAGCGAGCGAGAGACGTCTTTGAGGAGGGCGTTACGACGGTCATGACAGTCCGTGACTTTACTCTCGTGTTCGACTCATATGCGGAGTTCGAGGAGTCGATAATAGGAGCTTTGATGGAAGTGGCCCAAGGCCGGGCGGAGAAGGGAACAGTTGACGAGAATGCGGATTTCGACCTCGATATTCGTATGATGCGGTTCGAGCACCTGATGGACCGACGGCCTTTCCTGCTCAACGACGTTTTACTACGGCAAAATCCAAACAACGTCAACGAATGGGAGAAGCGGGTCGCGCTATGGGGGGACAACAAGGAACAGATCGTCCAGACCTACACAGATGCGATTGCAGCGATACAGCCGAAGAAGGCAGTCGGTGCCTTCCACCAGTTATGGGCCAACTATGCCAAGTTTTACGAGAAAGGGGGTGATCTCCGGAACGCCCGCATCATCATGGAGAAAGCCGTCAAGGTACCGTTCAAATCCGTGGCCGAGCTGGCTGACATGTGGATCGAATGGGCCGAGATGGAGCTCCGTAACGAGAATTTCGATGAAGCTGTCAAGATCATGGCCAAAGCAGTACAGGCGCCGAAACGCTCGACCGTTGACTATTTTGACGAGACGCTGTCACCGCAGCAGCGAGTACATAAGAGCTGGAAATTATGGAGTTTCTACGTTGACCTGGTGGAGAGCGTCAGCTCTCTGGAAGAAACGAAGAAGGTCTACGAAAGGATATTTGAGCTTCGGATCGCAACACCGCAGACGGTTGTCAATTATGCCAACCTCCTGGAAGAGAACAACTACTACGAAGAGTCTTTCAAAATTTTCGAGCGCGGTCTGGACCTCTTCAGCTACCCGGTGGCATTCGAGCTCTGGAACTTGTATCTTACTAAGGCCGTGGACCGCCAAATTGGCATAGAACGGCTGCGAGATCTATTCGAGCAGGCTATCGAGGACTGCCCACCGAAGTTTGCCAAGGTGCTGTACCTGATGTACGGCAACCTGGAAGAGGAAAGGGGCCTGGCACGGCATGCGATGCGCATTTACGAAAGAGCGACGCGAGCGGTTGCCGACGAGGACCGAGCAGACATGTTCAACTTTTACATCACCAAGTCTGCATCTAATTTCGGACTGCCATCGACACGACCCATCTACGAACGGGCCATCGCGGCCCTGCCGGACAAGGAGGCACGCGACATGTGCCTAAAATTTGCAGACATGGAGAAGCGGCTCGGCGAAATCGACAGAGCTCGCGCAATCTATGGCCATGCTTCTCAATTCTGCGACCCCCGCACCAACCCCGAGTTCTGGACCAAGTGGGAGCAGTTTGAGGTGCAGCACGGCAACGACGACACGTACAAGGAGATGCGGAGGATCAAGCGCAGTGTTCAGGCGCAGTACAACACCGACGTCAACTTTATCGCCTCTCAAGCTATCGCGCGCCAGGCCCAAGCTCAGGCCCAAGGCGATGGCGAGGCGGACCAGGAGGTTATGGACGCCATGGCGGCACTGGAAAAGCAGGCTCAAGCGCCTGTTGGATTCGTGGCTGCCACCGACAACCCACGAGGTGCACCGGAGCCGCAAGGTGTTGCCGCGAACCCGGATGCGATTGATATTGATGACATGGATGAATGATCTGGAGCATTATAGATGGACGGCGCTTGCTCTTTGTTGAGCGGTGGAACTTACAACTCGGGTTACTCAACTTCCAATGAGGTGGACTTGCACAGCACCGAGTCACGCGAGCAATCTCTAATTGACGATTCGAATTGATTTCAATGCGGAAGCTCCTCCCCACCACTAGTCGCGGACAACCCTCATGAGTCTCTGCAAAAGTGTGTGTGTGTGTGAAGAAGGTTCGGCTGACATGCCTAAGGAATTAATGAACAACCCTCCGAGCCCATCCGTTCCGTCTGTCCGTCCCATCCGTGTCACTATTGCCACGTCACAACGCCCCTTAGCAACCGCCAAACCAAGAAAAACAATGCGCACACGACGCGGTCAGATGCTGACGAGAAGAGTATTCTGCGCCTCGCATCATCGACGGCCCTACTTCTTGGCCGACGGCGCCCAGCCCTTCTCGACGAGCTTGTCGTGGTACTTCTCGGCGTAGTTCCTGTCGACGTGTCCGTCGCGCGAGGCCGGGGTGCTGTAGATGGAGCCCTTGCGGCGCTGGAAGCGGCTGGGCGGCACCTTTGATGCGTCCCACTCGGCGCTCTGCCGCCTGTCGGTCGGCGATGACGACAGGACGTCGGCGTCTGCGCCGGCCGGTGCGTCCGCCGAGGCAAAGGGGTTCTGCAGGCCCGCGAGGCCGGGGGCCTCCTGGGTCGCTGTCTGGTTCTGGTCTAGAGCGCGTGGGTTGCGGGGTATTAGTTTCTAGCGTTTCGAACTATGCTGGCGGGTGGAGTTCTCCATCGTTTTGTCCTGTGGGGTAGAAACCCGGGGAAGTGGACTACCGCGGGTCTTGGGGGAGACGAACCTGTCATGATGGTGTTTGGATTCGTAGGTGAGGATAGCAGCTGTGGATTCCAGAAGTCTCTCTTGGAATCTTGAACGTCGAGCAGTATGGTGTTATCAGAGTAGATTTTGGTTCGATGAGAGGTCTAGGTATTGGGAGAGTTAAAAAAGGAACTAGCAGGTCGAGATATGTTGAGGTGTGCGGGAGGCAGTGTCTTTGTACTCGGGCAGCTTCAAGGATCGACGGGGTACTAACTAAGCTTCATGTATGAAAGCTTCAAGGAATGACTACACTAGACTCAGAGGACAAACACAATGGACAGCCAAGCACCTTCCTCTGCGCCCCCCTCCCGTTGCGCAGCACCTTCGTGCCACCTTTCGCGCGCGCACCTGAGGTACCTCGAGGAGGGTCACGGCCACGGAAGCGACGAGTTGACACACAAGAACGCAGCAGCCTGAGAGGGCTACTAGGTCGGAACGAGGAGCCAAGACGGGCGATCAGTGAGTCTTGGAAGTCTCAAGGCTGTTTCTCGTCACTGTCCCTGCCGAATTATCGTAGCCCGTCCCAACTTGTGATTCGCCTCCGCCCCACAAACCTTGGCCCGCGCAGGTGCTCGATGGGATCTGGTCTGGCCGTCTGGGGGGAAGACAGGTGAGCACAACCCTGCCGCCACCCAATCGTGGCACGTATACGCTGCGAATAGACTGCTTTTCACCATCCCTAGGCAGCCAGGCCAGCCAGGCCGAGGCGGTCGATTCGACCATACGCACAGCATCATGCACTATAGCTGAAGGGGAACGACGGCTAGCATGCCGTCACGAGAGGATGGACAGGGGCGAGACGGCACGCCGTGTGGTGAGTGAGGTAAGTACGCTATCGTGGCTGGAAAGAGCAGCGCCGCTGCGCCCCTTCTTCGCTCCCCCTCGCCCATTACGTCACCGGCCGCCGCCCCGATCGTCGACCACCTCCTGCGGCCGTCATATAAAACAATAAATGCCTACCGTGGGCCCAGACGGCCGGTGACGTGAGTGATGCCCCCAGGATGGCCGCCTCCTCGTAGCATCGCCTCCCTGTGGCTGCAGTAGCGCGCGAACAGCAGAGGGTGGGTGTGGATGGATGTGTGTCGAGCGCCCGCGAAGGACGAGGAGAGCTTCCTCCGCCGAGCACACGCGAGCCCCACCCACTCAAGCCATTCGACGCCCCTCCAAGAAAGCTTACACACACCAAGCCCGTGGGTCGGCTGCTTGGCGTGGACGGCCCACCAGTACCATTACGGGTTGGTGCTTGCGAACTGGGGCAGCAGTGGGGAGGAGGGCGCACTTGCACTACATACACGCATGTAACAATAGTCCAGTCCCGCTAACAGCCTGACGAGGCGACTTATCTGAAAAAAGTGATCGCCTGACCCCATCTCTCGACGACAATCTGAATGTCCAGGCGGCTCTCGACGTGATGAGCATTTGTTTAGCCAGTGAGGAGCCCAGGGCAGGGTATGATCGGCAGACATGCCTTGCCCCGGATTGGTTCGCTCGGCCGGCAACGACGCTAGATTACCTTCTCAATCTTCCGCCCCGGATCGACGCTTTACATACTCCAAACCTCCCCTCCACCAACGACCAACGACGCTCCACAAGATAGGCCATCCGGGTGCTGCCGTGCATCGTGCGTGGGTGGCCTGACCTATGCCCGGGCTGGTTTGGAGAATCTGCAGATTCAGAGTATGACGAGCTGAAAGATGATGCGCGTCAGCCTTGGTCACAGGTTTTTTCGCAATCGAGGCTAACCTTCCAAGTCCCCCCAAGGGCAAGTGGGAGCCAACCAGCACAACTGTTGACCGGGCAGGTCGCAGCTGGAACAGACTTGGACTTTGTCCGCCGTGGGCCGCTCCGCCCGCTCGGCCGTGGCTTGGGCCGCCCGCCAGCCCTGCTAACGGCGCCGCCAGCCCCCGGATCCGGTTCGGACGGGCTCAGAGGTCTGGACCGGACGCCGCCATCTCGATGGAGGCCCTAACAAAAGACCGGCCGGGTCCCAACATTTACTGGTGCCTATCTAACGATAAGCCTATCTGTACCATCACAATGAGATCAAAAAGGGGGAAGCGCGATGTTTTTGATAAAGGAATGTAGATTACTAGGACGTCAAGTCCTTGGAGGTCGGATATCTTTGCTAATTACAGGAAAATGATGATCATCAGGGGCATTGCAGCATTATCAGCATCAGCACCAGTCTCCAGCTCTTTTTTATTTACTTTTCTGCCTGTCCCTTCCCTCCAGATCCGCAGAGTCGCTCGCGACCCTTGCTCAGATCTCCTCGCCGTCCTCGCGGAGCTGGGCGAGGTCCTCCTCGGGGATGTCGAGCTCCTCGGCGTCCTCCTCCAGGCTGGAGGCGCGCTTGACCATCTTCTTGAGCATCTGCAGGTCGCGCTTCATGGCCATGGCCAGGTTGCGGCGAGCGGCAGCAGGGGTGTTGGGGGCGGTCGTGTTGGCACCAGCCATCTGGACCGGGACGACACCACCGAAGGGACCAGCACGAGCTGGGTTCTGGCAACGGACCATGCAGACGTTCTCCTGTCCGGCGACGGTTCCAGTGCAGGTGGTGCCAGCTGGGATCTCAGCGTTGAGAGGGAAGTCGGTGGTAGCACCGTCCTTGAGTCAATGTTAGCATCATGTGTCTCATGTGTTGTGTGAGAGTGTGTGAGATGATGGATGAGAATCACTTACCCTGTTGCGGCCGGCCTCACCGGGAACGTTCTGGGTGACCTGGATGTCGGTCCACTGGGTGGCGGTGGCGTCGGTGTTGAGCATGCAGGCGTATGGGCCGGCACCGTCACCGTTAACCTGGTGGACGGTCATCTGGATCTCGCCACCGGGGGCGACCTGGGGCAGCATGTCACCGGTCATGGTCATGATGGCCTTGGTACCGGCGTCGATGTCGTTGTTGCCACCCCCGAGGGTCTCGCCGACGGTGTCAGCGGCATCACCCTTGAAGCGGGTAGAGTCCTGCTGGCCGGGGTCTCTTCGGGTGGAGTCACGAGGAGTGTTGGGGTCGACACCGAGAGCCATGCCAGAGCCACCACCAGGGGCGGTAGCCTTGATGATGGCACCGTGGCCAGCCACGAGGGGGATGAGGGCGTAGATGATTGCGGACTTCATTATGAATGATGTAATACGGAATTACCTGATCAACAGGATGGAGGAATTAGAAGGCTTAAAGTGAAAGAGGCTGGAAAGATCCGGAGATGACTGGGCTGATTGTGCTTGAGCTGATGATGATAAGGCAGACTGAGATGGTTGAGGGCGGGCAGGACGTCCAATATATAGATTCTTGAGGCGAAGCCGGCTGGCGTCGATGTAGTGTCATGGGCTCTTGGGCCGTAAAGCTTCTTCGCCTTCAGACGCCCTCAGCGATGCTCATACCGCGAGTAGTTTCGAAGATTCCATCGATCATCGGACCAAACTGCCAAGGCAAAGGGCGAACTCGTTGAAGGACGAGGTTGCGATGCCGCACTATGCTGCTCAGGGGCCAATCCACCAGGCTGTCATAGCCATTACAGGGAGGGCCACATCCCGGTCGTTAAGCAGCTGTCAGCGGGCGTGGCTATTGCGGATCACAGCTTAGCGTTTTGCTTGGCCTCTTGAATGTGGATCGCAGGGCAAGAGGAGCCGCAATGGAGACATGGTTGCTAGTGATGGACCTATCGCACAGTTGCGTTGGTGACGCCGTGGTGCTGCATGCGGGCCACGCCGTGTCCAGCTTCTGGGATTCTTGTTAGTTACGGGTCATGAACATCGCCATGGTCGATCACAAACGAAGTGAGGATCATGGTGATCACACAAGCTTCGCCATTCTCTTGGCAGCAGCTTAGGGAACCTATCGCAATCGTCGCCGGCAGCAGGGCAACATGGAAGATTGCTGTGTGGAAACTGGAGATCCGTCTTGGCTCCGACAGCCTGGGAGCGCTTTCTCATAGGATGCCGCCCAGGGCGGTATCAAGCATCGGTTGAAAATCTTGGCAGCTGGCCTGTGCGGCTGGGAGCTCCCCGCAAGAGGGCATAATGGAGCCCGGAGGAGGGTGATGTAGCAGCACGGATTAGGAAATACTGGCGCTCAGACTCTAGTTCAAGAAACATCTGAGCCTCTTGGCGGGTGCTGGCGCCGCTTCCCCTTTCCGCTTGGCAGGTTTCAAACAACTCGAATCCCAGCTTGCCCGGGACTTCTCACGGATGGCCTCACGGGGCTGGAGGTCTTGGCCAACATCTATAGAGAATGAATTACCGAGAACTAAGCCTTCAGACCCCCTTAGTTTGTGAAATGCCGAGACTGCTGGATAAAGCTTGAGTTCAGGGCTTGAAGTGGTTGGAGCATCACTCCAGACCCCGGCGCGGATCACAAACGTGGTAGCCTCACCTCCCAGCCGTGCGAGCGGTCGCACTGCCAGGCGAGTTGGCGATGGCTTCACCCGGCCCATGCCCTATTCCTGTGCTGCCCCGTCCGTTTACTGTCTGCCAGATGTCGTCTTTACTTGGACATGAGTAGTTCGGCCGTATTTCGAACTAGCAACCGCAGCCCCACTCTAGTCCACTGCAACGCATAATCGACGAGCCGAGTGAATGAATGGGTGGTTTGATGGTTTTGGAACCGGCCAAATTACCCGCTATCCTATCTCACTGGACAGATGGGACGGCGAGGGGGGTCGGCTGTCGGAGGCGTGAACATGATGAGACTAGCTGCCATAGCCACGATGTCAACCGTGTCACATTATCAGATTCACTCGTAGGCCACTCCGATGGTCCAATCGCAAGGCGGATGGACGGTCGATTGGTGGTACCGTTTGTGAGACGTGCCGAAACGCAGTGCCTTTGGGACATCGGACGAGCAGTAGTGGCCCAGGGGGCGTGAGTAGTGATCAGACTTTGCCGTCCACTGGAATGACTGCCGTCGAATTGGAGCCCCGAAAGGAGTATCCGTCTAATCTTCATCACGAGTCACCCAAGCCGGTGGGCCGGCGATGCGATGCTACCTAACGTGACGGTTGTTGGTGATGAAGCCGTGTGAAGTTGCGGTGGGCAAGTGGAGCAAGGTTCGGAGGATGTTTTGAGCCTCAAGTGCAGCCGGGGTAGACCCACTAATGTGACGGCTCTGATTGGCCTGTAACCCGCAGCCTCAACATGCCCAGGCGCCTACCTAGGTAGGTAGCACTGCGGTTGAGCATTCTCACACAAGCACCCCCTAAGAGCATCAGGTCTCTTTGCCGCTACTCGCGCCAATCCCACTATCGTTCCTACTCTATTTGCATTGTGCGCCCCCTACCTCCCCAACAACGCGTGCGCCTGATGAGGAGAGCTGGGTACGCGCCTGAGTGACTCAGCGCTGCAGAGGGCGGAAAAGCTCACGTTCTCCGGTGGACAGACAGTCAACTGAGCAGTGAGCAGTGAGCAGGTGGCACAGCGCCGCTGTCCGGATGAGTCATCTGTTTCCCTCAACCTCATGGGCTTCGTAAACCGATGACTGATGTTTCGACGCTGCATTCCCAGCTCAGTCCTGAGACCGAGTTTCCTGTCTGCTCTGCGGCCCCAGATGAAGAGAAAGGTCAGCCTTGACAGCGCCAGAATGTTGACAACACTGCAGCTAGACCCTCTGGAGAAGCAGCTCAAATATTTGCTTCTCGATGTGGCAGCCCACATTGATAAGACCGAGGCCAAGGGGAATGACGATCAAGTCATCTTAAGATGGGCGGGCGGTTGGGTCCGCGACAAGCTTCTCGGCAGACCTAGCCACGACATCGATGTCGCCATCAACAGCATGACAGGCGAGGTGTTTGGCAACGAGCTGCGGCGCTTCTGTGAATACCCCGAGAATGTGGCGAGGCACAACCTCCAGCCCGAGGACATTGGCAGGCTGCACAAGATTGCCAAAAACCCCGAGAAATCCAAACAGCTGGAAACGGCCACGGTGAAGCTGTTTGGGCTTGACGTGGACTTTGTCAACCTGCGGACAGAGAAGTACACTGAAGACAGTCGGAACCCGCAGGTCGAGTTCGGCACAGCTAAGGAGGATGCACTGCGCCGAGATGCCACCGTGAATGCGCTCTTCTACAATATCCACACGGGCGACGTCGAGGACTTTGTCGGCGGCCTTCCCGATATGGAGGCTGGTATCATCAGAACCCCCATGGATCCGTTTCAAACTTTCATGGATGACCCACTCCGGGTGCTCAGACTCGTCCGGTTTGCGAGTCGGCTTGGTTTTAGTATCGCCCCTTCTACCAAGGAGTTCATGGGCGATACCCGTGTCCTCGAGGCCCTGCGCGCCAAGATCAGCCGCGAGAGGGTGGGCACTGAAGTCGAGAAGATGTTGAAAGGCAAGCAACCCTGTCCCATTAGCCGCCACTATCATCCTGGATGGCCTATGCTTCAGGTCTGAGATGTATGCCTCCCGGCTAACGTTGCATCCCCCCTTAGGAGAGCACCCTCGTGATGCTGTTCGCTTGATTGACCAGCTCGGGTTATATCACACCATTTTTACTGATCCGGTTAACTTCAACACGCCTCAGCCAAGCCTGGAGGGCTGGAGCGCTGCCTATGAGTTTCTGCATGATTCGCCATCAAATATTGACTCCGTGTACGATGTCTTGGTGACATCAAATGAGGCAAGATACTATGCTTGGGTTCTAGCTTGCGTGGCCCCCTTTGCCAGGCTTCCGGCCTTTACTTCGGCTAATCCGAAGAAACAACCTCCGGTCGCAACTGTGGCGGCACGTGAGGGCATCAAGGCGCCTACCAAGCTATCGGACCTGATCACGGCTGCAGTCTGCCACCGTGAGCAGATTTGCGAGCTCAAGAGCAAGGTTTGCAACGGCGATGCGTCTGAAGTTGGGCGAGATGCACTAGGAATGGCAGTAAGAGGCTGGGAGGCGAAGGGGACGCATTGGCGGCTCCAGGTCCTGTTTTCTATTCTTTACGATTTGATGGTGCAGGCGACGGCATCAACGGGACTGAGTGCTACGGCGCACCCCTCTGACGAACCCTCAGGATCCCCCGAGGCGGATGATGCTCACACAGTCTCAACGTCAGGGAAGGTTGAGAGAGATTGGAAGGGTTTCCTCGACCGGCTTCGGACGTTGGATCTGATGGACGCTCCATCGATGAAGCCGCTCGTTGACGGTCGCAGGCTCATGCAGACCCTCGACATCAAGAAGCCGGGCAGATGGATGTCATCTGCGTTGGACATCTGCATGGCCTGGCAGCTCAGGAACCCTGATGAGACAGACCCAGCTGGGGCGATTGAGGAAGTGCGACAGCGCAAGGAGGAGCTTGGTATCCCCATCTAGTCCCAGTAGACGGAGGACGATTGCTTATAGGGTGCATACATGGCGGGACAAAAAGCCAATCGGATAGCCTTTAGACTTGTCGTCAAAAATTGAGATACCCTCCCATCTGAGAACCAAGGCATAACAGTAAATCCTCGTCTGGATTCCCCTAGTACCGAACACATGTAGAAGTAGATGCGTCTGGAGTTGCCCTCTGCATTCGTGAAGTTGTCCGATACTTGATAGAGGGGATGACCAGGAAGCCGAATGCTCCCAGCACCTAAATACGTTATTATCCTCTTTTTTCTCCTAACTACCTAAATTTTTTAATTATATCTTTATAAAAGAATTATTTCTTTTCTTTAAATAAATTATAATAAATTATATTAATAATTATAAATTTAAGTTATAAGTTGCTTTAAAAGAAATTTATAATAATAATTTATTATATAATTAAGCTTTTAAAAAGCATAAAATTAAATTAAATATATTATATATTTATATTAATAATAATAAATTTTTTTAAAAAAAGCTTATAAATATAAAAAAAGTTATTATTATATTTAAAGTTATTAATTTAATAATAAAACTTTTTTATAAAAAACTTAATATATTTATTAATATTAAGTTAATTACTTTATATTATAATATTTTTAACTTTATATAAAAATTAAAGTTTTTTAAAAATTTTATTTATATTAAAGTTAAAAAAGAATTATATTATAAATTAACTTTATATTATTTTAATTAAAATTATTTAAAATATTAAAAAATAAAATTTATTTTTTATTTATATTTATATTAAAGCTTATTATTAATTATAATAAATATAAGCTTAAATTATAATAATTTAAAAAATATTTATATATTATAATAATTAAATAAAAATAAAATTATTAAAATTATTAAAATTATTAAAATTATTAAAATTATTAAAATTATTAAAATTATTAAAATTATTAAAATTATTAAAATTATTAAAATTATTAAAATTATTAAAATTATTAAAATTATTAAAATTATTAAAATTATTAAAATTATTAAAATTATTAAAATTATTAAAATTATTAAATTATTAAATTAAAATTATTAAATTATTAAAATTATTAAAATTATTAAAATTATTAAAATTATTAAAATTATTAAAATTATTAAAATTATTAAAATTATTAAAATTATTAAAATTATTAAAATTATTAAATTATTAAAATTATTAAAATTATTAAAATTATTAAAATTATTAAAATTATTAAAATTATTAAAATTATAAAAAAATTATTAAAATTATTAAAATTATTAAAATTATTAAAATTATAAAATTATTAAAATTATTAAAATTATTAAAATTATTAAAATTATTAAAATTATTAAAATTATTAAAATTATTAAAATTATTAAAATTATTAAAATTATTAAAATTATTAAAATTATTAAAATTATTAAAATTATTAAAATTTAAATTAATATATATATAATTATAAACATGCCATAAGGGGATAGCAATACTGGGCATAATAAGCACTATAAGCAATAGGCACTATAGGCAATTGGCACTAAAGCATTGGCAAGTAAGGATTACATGCAGCAGCATATAACCACTCCTAAATAGTTTATAGCTAAAGGGAGGTTTTATAGCTTATAGCCGCAACCCTCCTTCCTTCTTTAAAGTTAATTTAAATATAATTAATTTATTATTAATTAATATATATTAATTTAATTAATATTAATTAATAATTACTTATAAGTAATTATAAATAGCAAGGTAAGTAAGTAATAAATTTATATTATTATTAATTAAGCAATAATTATTAATAATAAGAATTATTATAATTAAGTTGCAATATTTATATTAAATAGTTAATATTAATATTATAAAGATAAGTAATTATTAATAATAAAACCTTATTTAATTAAGTATTAATAGCTATATTATAATTAAAATTAATAAAAAGAAATTAATAATATTTTAATCTTTTTATTATAAAGATTTAACTTATTAATTAATAAGTTCTTAATAATGCTTTAAATTTATTAACTATATAGCGTATTTTATTATATAATTAATATTAAAAATGCTTATAATTACTTTATTTTAGCATAAATAATAACCTATATTTACTTAAGTTAATAAATATTCTTTAATAAATACTCTTTTATTATATAATTAATATTTTCTTTTTATACTTTAAAATAACCTTATTATATTTCCTTAATTACCCTTTTTCTTTTCCTTTATATATAAATTATTTAAATATTTTAATAGCTTAATAAAATAGCTAAATTTAATAATAATATTAAGAAAATACCCTTAAATATTAATAATACTTTTATATAAAAACTTTAATTACTTTTTAATTTTAATAAAAAGTTTTAAAATTAATAAATTAATTTTAATTATTAAAATAGATTAATAATAAAGGTAAATAATATAATTAATTAAGTAAATATTATTATTCTTAAGTTTATAAAGAAAATAATAAAATGCTAAAATATAAATAATAATTTATTTTAATACTTTATAAAAAACTTTGCTTTTTAAAATATAATAATATTTAAAAAGTTAATTATTATTTAAAACTTTAAGAAATTCCTTTAAAAAAAATTAATATTAAAAAAAGTATTAATAAGCAATATATTAATTTAAAAGTATTGCTTATATATAATAAATATTCTTTATAATAAAAAAAGGAATTATATAAGATAGCTAATATATATAAACTCTTTAAATTTTATACTTAATAACTTTAATCTTAAAAGCTAAAAATAGCAAGTAATTAAAAAATACTTATTATTTAAGAAATTTAAAAAACCCTAGCTCTTAATATAATTTTATTATTTATAGCTTTTGCTTTTTTTTATTAAAATTTAAAGTAATTAATTCCCTTTATTAAAAAAAATAAAAAATCTTAAAAATTATAACCTCCTTATTCTTAATTATTTATAAAATTAAAATAAAATATTATTTAATTAACTCCCTTATAATAAGTATTATAATTATTATCTTATAAAAAGGAAACCCTTAATTAATTAAATATAAGGGCTTCCCTAAGATATTAAGAAATATTGCCTTAATAAAGATTAAGTTTATTAAAATACTTAAAAATTCCATAACTTAAGAAATAATTTATAAGCATTTCCCTTAAAAAGTTAATAAAGACTTTATACTTAATGTTATTATTTATTATAGCATTAAAACCTTTATAAATATATAATTTATATTAAAACTTACCCCCTTAGGAAATAATAAATAATCTTCTTAATATTAATAATAATGCATAATTTAATAAAATATAAAATAAAAATAAAAATTAAAGCAATAAATTATATAATTTACTAAATAATAAAATAAGGATTTTTTTTAATATTTGCTAAATAATAAATATTAAACTTAAATAATTTTATATAATATTTCCCTTAATTCTTAAAAATTATATTAAGATTTATTATATTTATTATATTAATATAAGGTTCTTTATTTATAATATATACTTAAAGCTTAAAGCTTACTTTAATATAAAGGTTAATTATTAATAATACTTTTATAATTAAACCTTAATTATATTTAATAAAATATATGCTAACTTAAGGAATATTAATAAGCACCCTTAAAAGATTTTAATTATAATATTTAATAAATTATAATTATATTAATAAGTACTTAATATACTTTATTAAGGGAATAATTTCTTATAAATAATAATTATTTATATTTATATAAATATATTAAAATTATAATATATACTTTTTAATTTTAAATACTTATATAAAGCATTATTCTTAAGATTAAAATCTTTTCTTAAACTTAATTTTTAATATAACGCTAATTAATATTATAATAAAGATAATTAAATTATTAATAATAAGGAAAATAAAGTATATTATATTAATTGCTAATATTAAAATAATAAGCTATTAAGTTATAATAAATATAATTAAAAAAGCTTTAATTATAGCAACTTTAATTAAAGCAATTTTAATTAAGGTAACTTTAATAATAATAGCTTTTATTCTTAATATAACTCTTATTATAATAATTAATAAAATACCTTAAAAAACAAAAAGTATTATATTTATAATAAAACTAATTATTAATCTTTAAATTACTTATTAATAAAATATTAATAATATTATAATTAATAATTTATATAAATAAAATACGCTAATTATAAAGCTATTAATATTAATTATATTATATTTCTTATTAAATATAAAAAACTTAATATAAGAATTATTTTTAATAAAAAAGAAAATAATTATAAAAATAATATAATATATTATTAAATTATTATAAATAATGCCTTTTTTTATAATTTCTTCTTAAAAAATATAATTATTAAGGAAAATAATATTAATAAGAATAAAAAAGATATAATATTTACTTTTACTTTTTAATTTACCTTAATTAAGAAATATATTTATACTTAATTTTAAAATATTATTTTTAATATAAATATTATAATCTTTTTTATAATAAAATATAAATAATACTTTGCTTTTTAATATAAAAACCTTTTTATTTAATTTAATACCTTATAAATAAGAAAAGTACTTATTAAATTTAATAAGGAATTATAAGCTTTATCTTTAAAAATAATAATAATAAAGGCTATAATTAATTTAATTACCTTTTATATTATTAAAAACTATATTCCTTTTTTACTTTATATAAGCAATATAAATAAATTATATATTTATTTATAAAATATAATAAATAAATTAATTTAATAATAATTAAATAGCTTTAAAAAAATGTTTTTAATTACTTAAAAGTAAGAATACTTATAATACTTTTTATATACCCTTATTATATTTTTTATAAAAAAGGAATTATATTAATTATATTAATATTTTAAATATTTATTAATTAAATATCTTAACTATTTATTAAAAAACATTAAATATAATATAAAAATAAAAACTTTAAAAACTATTATAAAGTTTTATTATTATTATTAGCTTTATAATTTTACTTTATAAAGATTTAAGTTTATTTTAAAAAATAATTATAACTTTAATTATAA